GGGCACGCACGCACCAATTAAGGCCGGCGCGACGCACGAGGTGGGATGTGAGGACATCACCGTGCCCGGCCGCATTTGCGTCGTCAGTGCCGTCCCAGGTGCTCATTTTAGGCTAAACAGATCTAGGGGAGGACCGGTTGATGTGGGCCCCTGGTCGATAATCGAACCCGCGGGTGGCTGGGTTCGTGGCGCGGCGCGCTAACCGCTGCACCGCCGCTCCGCGCAAAATACCAAAGATCTCAGAGCGTGCAGCATTTTGAGGCTGTCAGGGCAAGTGCTGTTAGTGAGTGTGCGCAAACTCACGCGAACACACACAGTCACGCACACACACAGTCACGCACGCACACAGTCACGCACACACACATCACACACGCAGTCACGCACACACACATCGCATACACACAGTCACGCACACACACATCACACACACATCACACACATCACGCACACACGCATCATACACACACACATCACATACACACACATCACACACACATCACACACATCACGCACACACGCAGCATACACACACATCACACACACACACATCACACACACACATTACACACACATCACACACACATCACACACACACATCACACACACACATCACACACACATCACACACACATCACACACACATAACACACACACACCACACACACATCACACACACACATCACACACGCACGCGCATGCGACGACGAGGAGCAGTTGCGTGCAACCGCGTGCCTAATTGCGCCGGAGGTTATTTATATATTTATTTATACGTCTATTTACTTCCCCCCCCCCCGACCTGGTCTCTCTGGTGGCGGATAATTTTAGGCAGGACCCCCCCCCCCCCCCCCAGCGGAGTGCGTGACCCTGGGCAGCATCGGCGGCAACGGCTCTCCCACCTCCCTCTGCCTAGCCCCCCCCCCCTCATCACGACCCCCCCGAGACTCTCCCACCCCCCCCCTCTCGCCGCTTGCCCGCTCGCTCCCCCCTCTTATCTCTCTGGCCGTACCTGTCCGTTTGAAGGTCACCCCCGCAGCCTGACCTTGCTTGAAGGACCGGTGAGGAGGGGAACGTGGGAGGGGGGGGAGGTGGCTAGGAGATGTTAACTACTTTGCCTGGTATACAGGAGGTCGTGGGTTCGATTGCGACCCCTGACGCCTGCTGTATATTTGGAGTTTGCGTGTCTCTCTCTCTCATCATCATCACGGTGGCTAGGAGATGTTAACTACCTCGCCTGGTATACAGGAGGTCGTGGGTTCGATTGCGACCGCTGACACCTGCTGTATATTTGGAGTTTGTGTGTCTCTCTCTCATCATCATCATCACGGTGGCTAGGAGATGTTAACTACTTTGCCTGGTATACAGGAGGTCGTGGATTCGATCGCGACCCCTGACGCTTGCTGCTGTATATTTCGAGTTTGCGTGTCTCTCTCTCTCATCATCACGGTGGCTAGGAGATGTTAACTACCTCGACTGGTATACAGGAGGTCGTGGGTTCCATCCCGACCCTGACGCCTGCTGTATATTTGGAGTTTGCGTGTCTCTCTCTCTCATCATCATCACGGTGGCTATGAGATGTTAACTACCTCGCCTGATATACAGGAGGTCGTGGGTTCGATTGCGACCCCCACGCTTGCTGTATATTTGGAGTTTGCGTGTCTCTCTTTCTCATCATCATCACGGTGGCTAGGAGATGTTAACTACCTCGCCTGGTATACAGGAGGTCGTGGGTTCCATCCCGACCCTGACGCCTGCTGTATATTTGTAGTTTGCGTGTCTCTCTCCCCATGGTCGCGTAGATTTTTCTCCGGGTCCTCCTGTTTTTCCCCTCCACATTTAGAATCAACATCGCCACGTGTTCAGAGTATTTGGCTGCTGCTATAAATGTCCACACGATAATAAGCCACTTAAATTTCGATTTAAAGCTTTTGTGACTGCAGGGATTCATCTTCTTGGTTCTTTCGGTAAAGTCACGTAGAATGGAAATAATGAAATAAAAAACAATTATTATTTTATTACGTTTTATTATTTATTCTTTTATTATTTCCATTCTACGTGACTTTACCGAAAGAACCAAGAAGATGAGCCACTTCTCGTTGAGCTATCATTTGTGGCCAGGTCGCTTCTGAAAAAGAGCTCCTAGAAAGCTCAGTGGGGTCTTACCTGGTAAAAAAAAAACAAAAGCAGACAAAACTTGCCAGCAGTGGCGTGAGCGACAAGCGCTTTCAGGGGCTGCACCTTTACCTGTTCTACAAAGACGTCAGCTCGACCGTTGGGTGCTCAGCTGCACGACGAATGATGACGATGCGGTCGTCCCCACTGTTAAGTGTCGTGCACTTTAAATATCATTCCAACACTTCTTGGACTTCATAAAGAATGTTAAAGGTGGGCTTCTGAGCCATCTCAGCCACCGCCACCCCCCGGCCGGCCGGCCGCCCCCACCACCACCACCACCGCCGCCGCTGCGAGACCGACTACGGCCGTGTCACTTCGTCCCGGCTCGAAAAAAAAACCCAAAGTAACGTTTTGTCTGCACGACCTCGAGGCTTGCAAACGACAACGAGCGGACAGACCACGCAGCCCGTCGCGATCGCGTCGACGACGGCTAGGAACCACGGCAAAGGCCGCGACGCGTTTACGTGACCCCCGACAGGCCGCGGCACGCTGGAAAACAAAGTTCTAAAATAGACGAGCGGTGGGCTCGCAGACCTTCGAATGGTGCTTCTGCGGCCCGCGTGCTGGCAAACGGGCGTCGAAACTTCGGCTGAAAATCCCGCGCCGGATCCTCTCTTACGCCGTCACCGTTGCCGGATCCTCGCGAAACCGATGTCGCCGCCTGGCGCTACGCAGAGCAAGGGCGGACGCCACGTAAAGTCTCTCTCCTCCCATGACGCCACGTGTTGTTTTCGTGACACGGATTGGACGCAACTCGACGAATGTACGAGGGAAGACATTTTTTTTTAAACGCGAATTGGATGTAACGCGATCGAGTGAACGGCACTTCGTCGCGCGAGTAGGAATAAGCGTCTTCTTGGTTCTTTCGGTAAAGTCACGTAAAATGGAAATAATAAAAATAAAACATAATAAAAGAATTCTCACGACGTTTCGGCCACAACGCAAGCAGAACGTCCTCAGGTGAAGAACAGGTCTGTCGAGAAGACAGTCTGAAGACAGTCTCATTCAGACTCTGTCTTCTTGACAGACCTGTTCTTCACCTGAGGACGGCTGCTTGCATTGTGGCCGAAACGTCGTGAGAATTATTTTATTATGTTTTATTTTTATTATTTTATTATTTCCATTCTACGTGAATTTACCGAAAGAACCAAGACGACTCTATATTGTTTATTATAACGCGATTTTCCCATCACGTGGTTTACTTCAGGAACGCAACTACCACGTTACAGGAGAGCGGACTGTAAATACCAACTATTGGATTTTCACACCGATATTATCCCCGCGGCAGCGCTTGTTTAAGAGAGCGTGAAGTCTGAACCAATTCTGGACCGGTTCTGACATTCTGGGACACGTGAGCAGATCCACGATCGTTTAGCAAATGCTGTTGGGACTCCCGGATGCTATTGGCATGAGCACTCCACGCGAACCGCGGGGACCGTGTTCCCGACACGCAAAAAGCAGTGTCGTGCACAAACTCACCGTGCACCCGAAACGAAACATTGTGGGTCAGAGCAAACATAAGTAGAACTCTGTTCCGCCTCTCCCCACGCAAATACAAATGTGTTTTATTCCATCAGCCTATTCATTGGCTTTCCAGACGAATATTTATTCTTGAGTGTTTTTTTTGAAGAGAGGAAAAAAAACGCGGGGTAGCTGGGTAATTGCTGTTTCTGCTCTGATGAAGAGCCTTTGCCTTACATTTGTTTTTTTAAATATATATTTTTCAACAACTCAGGTAGATCTCGTTCTGTCCATCTGTAATGGCGGGGGGGGCGGGTGCACGCGGTGACCGTCGTGAAGATACTCTTAGGTTTTTTCGGTAAAGTCACGTAGGAAAAAAATATAATAATAAATATTATAATAGAAATAATAATAGGAATAAAAAAATAAATCACGACGTTACGGAGGCAAAAACGTGATTTATTATTTTATTTCTATTATTATTTATTTTTTACCTATGTGACTTTACCGAAAAAACCTAAGAGTATGAATCCTTGCAGTCACGAAAGCTTCAAATCTAGAATCGTCGTGAAGATGATCCAGCATAGCCTAAACGTGAGCGCAACGTCGCGTTGCTACGAGCAACTTTGCTCGGTAGGACAGCGGCAAAATTGCCCCCAAACGTTCACCCCAGGTGCTGCCCCTGGGCGCTGCCCCTGGGCGCTGCCCCCAGGCACTGCCCCCCAAGTGCTGCCCCCCAGCGGGCTGTTATCCCGACTGCCGTATTGGCTTCGAGCCGCGGGTCGAGGTGACGCGTCCGCTCGGAACTCCTCTTGCGGAGCCGGCTCCGGTGCGTCGCCCCGGACGCTAAGAGAAACGCTCTGCGGAATGGGATATCGCAGAAGTACATCTGAGGTCTCTTCGGTGGGGGGGGCTCTGGTGCTGTCCGCACACTTTTATGGGGAGCACCCGCTGCGCTTTCCGACGCGCCTCCGCTGCTAGAGGGAAATGTTTGTCACGTTATTTTTTCATTCTCAGAGCTGGAAAGTTAACGAATGTGATATGGTGACCTGACTTGTGCGGTTGTTGGTGACCGGGTTGAGGCCCGGCCTGCGTTCCAGGCTCACACCTGGATTCGAACCCAGGCTCTCAGTGGTGCTGGATCTGTGACGGCAAACTAAATGGTGCCTCTCTCTGTGTCTCTCTCTCTCTTTCCGTGTGTCTCTGTCTCTCTCCCCGTTTCCCTCTGCGTCTCCATCTCCTACATCGCTCTTTGCCCCCCTGCCTCTCGCCCCGTATCTCTCTCTCCCGTATCTCTGCCTCTTTCTCTCTCCATCTCTCTCCCCCCGCCTCCATCTGCGTCCCCGCATCTCCCTCCGTGCCCGCAGACGCTGCGCAAGAAGGGCATGAACGGGTGCGAGAGCCCCGAGGGCGACGTGGATGAACTGCTCGGCCCGCACAGCCCCATGGGACAGGACAAGTTCCTACGCGACGACGGAGACATGACGGGGAGGGTGAGTCCCCCCCCCACCGCCGCACCCACCCACCCCATCCACGTCAGAACATTTCCACATCATCTTCTTGGTTCTTTCGGTAAAGTCACGTCGAAGGGAAGTAATAAAATAATAAAAATAAAACATAAGAAAATAATTCTCACGACGTTTCGGCCACAACGCAAGCAGCCGTCCTCAGGTGGAGAGCAGGTGAAGACCAGGTCTGTCGGGGAGACAGCGTCTTCACCTGAGGACGGCTGCTTGCGTTGTGGCCGAAACGTCGTGAGAATTATTTTATTATGTTTTATTTTTATTATTTTATTACTTCCCTTCTACGTGACTTTACCGAAAGAACCAAGAAGATGAATCACTGCAGTCACGAAAGCTTTAAATCGAAATTTTATTATGTTTTATTTTTTATTATTTTATTACTTCCCTTCCACGTGACTTTACCGAAAGAACCAAGAAGATGAATCCCTGCAGTCACGAAAGCTTTTAATCGAAATTTCCACATCAGTCGACGAATCTTTGCTGCTGCTGCATCGTTCCCTCTCCCCCGCGCCGACGACGAATCGGCATGAAATGAAGCTAAAGAAATCAGTCCCCGTGTGGCGCTCTTCCGATCGGACGTGCAACCACGAAGCGTCGAATCGTCGACTAACGTCGGCTTCCCAAGCGTGCGCGCGCGGATGTGTTTTCCGGTGTGCGTCTGTTGTATGCGGTGTGTTCGCTTAACCCCCTCCAGCCACTAGAGGCGCTAACCATGCACAGCCAATGCCTGAGCCACGAGCCACCCAGTTGCACAACATGCGCGTGTTTTGTCAAGGCAGGAATCAAGTTGACATTGAACGTTGGGCCGACGTTCGTCCAGCGGTTACAACGACAAGCCGACGTGAGCCCAACGTTGGCATGTTTACCAATCACGTTCGAGAAGAAGCGGACGCCGCAGAGCCACTACTTGAGATCGCATGAAGCGGACCTCTGCCGCACGCAGGAGGGGAGGCGGGGGGCAGCTCTTTCCCACCCGCTCTGCCGACAGGGAGAGAGGCTCGCCGCACGACAGTCGCACCGATATATATTTTTTCTCGAATTGTTTCTCAGAAGCTGCGAATTTTGGCCAAATTCAGCGCGTGACCAAGAACTTCCCGTCGCGCGACGTAATGCAAGCGGTCGTTGTTTTTTATTTCACTACCACTATTACCGTGTCACCGCCCTGCGGGCGTTCGGCGAATCTGAGGCTCTCCCTTCGGTTTGCGTGCGCATTCAAATAGCGGCCGGGCTGGTACCGCCAGCTCTCCGCACCGGAGCGCCCGGTTTAAACACGGGCGGCGGCTGAAACCCGCATCCGAGCCCAGGATCTCAGCGGTGCTCAGCGGCTCACATGCTCTGACCTCTCCTGACCTCTGAGCAAGTCGGCCAGCTCCGCGTCTGGTTTTATTGTTGTCGTGTAAAGCCAGAGATAGTCATTTTGCGGCGCCCCAACGCGGATCCTTGCATCTCCTCCACTCGCACCTCCCCCCCCCCCCACTACACAGCCTCCACAACTCCTCCACTCCTTTGCCATGCCCCCCCCCCCCCCCACAAACGCCACTCCCGTGCACCTACTTTGCCCCCGGCCCCTCCGAGCATCTCGTCACGAGCGCCGGTTTCCTGTTTGCTGCACTTAAACATTCACTGCATCAACATCACTCACTGCCCCCCCCCACACCCCACCGCACCCCACCGACCGTAACCTCCTCCTCCGTCCGCACTGTCGTTCCTGTTTATGCTCGGACTCTCTGACACGCAACGCGCTCCCTTTAATCGCTCCGTGCCTGGCGGTAGTCGGGAGATGTTGTTTGCGCGCGACGATGGTTGTAATGATAAAGCTGCTGATGATGATGCTGCTGCTGCTGCTGATGATGATTATGGTGATAATGATGATGGTGGTGGTGCTGCTGATGAGGGTGCTGTTGCTGGATGAGATGTTAAACGATGGTGTTGCTGCTTCTGATCACGATGATGATACTACAGTAAAGCTGATGATTATGCTGCTGATGATGGTGCTGATGCTGCTGCCATGAATAATGACTGATGGTTATTCTGCTCATAATGACAGCACTCCTGATGGTGCTACTGTTCCTACTTGTGCTGATGAGCATGATGCTGCTGATGCCTTAATGTTGTTGGTGGCATTAACATTATTCATGATCACTGCAACCTCAATTATATTGTTTTCTGGAGTTTATGTAAATTTTTATGATCATCATATTTGCCTCTAACGATATTGGCGATCAATATTCGTGACAGTTGATGAAGATTAAAATTGCGAACAAATGATCATTCTGCAGAGATGAAAAAAAATACAAAAGATTTTTACAATGGCCACCTTTCACGAAGATGCAAAACTATCCCGGGCCGGATGTCATTAAACGCGAATGTAATAATAACATCAATTGATGAATCAACTTTTTTACAGGAGGGTCCTGCCTTGGGAATGTTTGACGGACACACGAATTGACGTCGCACGTCTTTAGCTGCGGGAGGTAAAACCGGGGGAACCCGGGAGAAAGAAACTCGCACGGAGCCGAGGCGGGGAGAGAGAATACAAAACTCCCCAACGGCGTAAAAGGGCCCCAGACGGTCGAGGGGGCGGTGTTGGGCGTGGGATCGAACCCAGTGACGGGCGTTCCCGCCGCGCCACCGGGCCGCGCTCCGCTCGGTCTGCGCGGCGTCAGCGGCGTGCAGGGGGCGGTGACATTGAGAGGAGCGACGGTGATCGCGGGGTTAATGACTGCGGGCCGCGAGGGGGGAGGCGGGCGGGAAGGTCTGCGATAATAACAGCAGCGGTGACTAAACCCCCCCACCCCGTCCGCATTTTCCACTCCGCTTCCCCGTTCCACTCCTCTCTCCTCTGCCGCCCACTCCTCCCCTCCTCCCCCACCCCTCCCCACTTCTCTCTCTCTGCCCCCCCCCCCCGCCGCAGGCTGGAATCCCTTCCCACGGTTTTCAGCTACCGCTGAGCATGAGCTCCGGCGGGAGCATGGGCTACGGGGTGACGGGGGGAGCGACGCTCTCCAGCCCCGGGATGCGACCCGCGAGCACGGGTAACTGCTCCTCAACAATCGCACACGCTGCGTGCGTGCGCAACGCGCGTGTGCGTGTGCAGCGCGCGTGTGCGTGTGCAACGCGCGTGTGCGTGGGCAACGCGCATGTGCGTGGGCAACGCGCGTGTGCGTACGCGAGTGTTGCAGGTGTGCGTGCACGCGTGTCCGGGTGTACAGCCATCCCTCGATGTTCTACCCCCTCGTGTAACGTTGCAGCGTTCAGAAGGTGCTCGCTAACAGCACTTGCCCCAACGGTCCGTTGAGGCTCTACGGGGGATCTTTGTCCTTGTCTTTTGTGGTCTCGCATTGGCCGCGATCTCCCATGCAGGATGCCACAGTGAGTGATGCTAGTGTACAACAAACCCTACAGTTTATATGTAGACCTAGTCAAGCAATGTTGCACGTACGGAACGTGCGTACATACACGCGTGCAAGTGGTGTTTGGGGAGTGCCTATTTAGGCCAGGTGCTTATTTAAGGCTAAGTTTACCCAGGGGATGCACGGAATAATCCTTAGCGTCGTTGTGGAGAATATAAAGTAATAAAATAAATAAGCAGACTATACCGCCTCTGTGTTCACGGTTCACACGCACACTCATTGCATACACGCGCGGCAAAACACACCGCCATTCGCCACTAAGTGGTGCCGACATCACCAGAGTGCTTGCGCCAGCCTAGGTGCACTGGCACGCACACACTGACAAAGAAAAGGACGAAGATCTTCCTGTATTCAACAGACAGTTGCGGGCAAGAAGTGCTGTTAGCGAGCGCCAGTTAGCGAGCGCCCGCACGGCACACGAGGGGCGTGGGTGGCGTTTACGCACCGCCGCACCGGGTACTCGTTTAAGGCCGAGTCGCCCTAGGGGACCGGTGAGTCGGCGCGCTTCGGCCGCGAGCGTGAAGCGAACGCTGACCGCTGGGCGGTTTGCAGCGCAGTGCGCCGCCGCTCCCCGCCGAGCGCGGACGCAACACGGAGAGAGGGCCGGAGCTCACTCAAACGCGGCGGCGTAATCCCCTCGCCGCCGCTTTCTAAATAACTGGCGGTGATTGCGCCGTGATTGCGAGCGAGCGCCACCTTCGCACGCCGATCACGGGGAGGCTCTTGCGGACCCCCGTCGAGAGTTGGCGGGGAGGTGGCCACGCGGCAACAACAACAACAACAACAACGCCGCGGCGCAAAAAAGCAGTGCCGCACAAACACCGCTGTCCCCGCTCACTCCGGAGGGAAAGCGCGCAGAATTTCTGTGAAATTTGTTGACGGGATTTTTTAAAAAACGCTTCGGGTTTTTTTTTTTGCGCGCACCGACGACCATTGCCATCCCTTCCCAGCATCCTCCTCGTCCTCCCATCCTTCTCTTCGTCCCCCATCCACCTCGTCGCGCCGTCGCTGTGCAGCGGCCCCTTCTGATCCACCGCCCGTCCCGTTCGCGAAACGCTTAGTTGAGCAGAGGAAAACCTAATTACCGATATTACGTCGCGAACAACAACACGGCTCACTGGGGTGGGGGGGTGTGTGTGGGGAGCGGTGGTGTAGCGGTTAGCGCTACGCTGCGCTACGAACCCGTTTCCCGCTCACGGCCACCAACGTCGGTGACGATTATCTGAACCCGTCCTGGGCCTCCCCTAGGTCGACTCGGCCTCAAATGAGTACCTGTTGCGATGTGTAAACATCGCCACTAGGGGGACAAAGGCGGCCGGGCGTGGTGCTGGCCACCCACCTCCTCATGTGCCGTGCCGGCCTTCATAGGTGCTCGCTAACAGCACTTGCCCCAATAAGCTGTTACGGGCTATACGGGGGATCTTTGTGTTTTCGTGTGTGTGTGTGTGCTCGTGCATGGCTCAGTGCGTCGTGCGCACTGGTGCAGTGTGGTCAACGCTCCGAAGCGGAAATTCGACAAGCGAACATCAAAAAGTCTGTAGATGTAGCCGCATCGACCTTCTAAAAAGTCGCCAAAAATGTCACCGGACAATTTACCGAGTATCGTGCGGAGTGAACTGATGCAGGATCGCTGGCGCACGCCTCGATTGCCACGGCAATCTGCATCGTGTCCTCCCAGGAAGTTTTGCCGCCACTCGATTTGAACAAAAAATTTTCTTGCTGGGGAAAGCTCCACAAGCCGCTAACATCCAGCATTGAGAAACGCTAGGTGCTTCTACTTTTCTCTTTTTTTATTCGAATAAGTCTCGCCGATTCAAATCAAAGTTGTTCGGAAATCGACTAAATGTCTAAAATGTGCACGTATTCTACTCGCGAATGGGATAGATAGACAGATATATTTTTTGCAGACCCTAATTTTAGTTTGTTCCGTGCACACTGAATACATTTTAAGTCAAGATACGCTACATGTGACAGACTCCGTCGAATCACAGATAGGTACAGTCAGGAAATTACTTTACAAACTCATAAAACATTGTGCGTGATTTCGATTTAAAGCTTTCGTGACTGCAGGGATTCATCTTCTTGGTTCTTTCGGTAAAGTCACGTAGAATGGACCGGGTCTTCACCTGAGGACGGCTGCTTGCGTTGTGGCCAAAACGTCGTGAGAATTATTTAATTACCTTTTATTTTTATTATTTTATTATTGCCATTCTACGTGACTTTACCGAAAGAACCAAGAAGATTGTGCGTGATGCATGCATTGGGCCCGTTACAGAGAAACAATTCTTTTTTTAAGACGTTGTTTTGCCACTCTGTTATAACTGTCAGATGGCGAAGGGTAGACCCAGGCCCAGTTCGGATCTCAGCCAGTGCTGAGGTTCGAACTTAAGTTGCCGGAATAAGTTCTGTGCCTCCGTCGTAAAGCATCCAAAAGAACGTGGAAATATTTTCACCGTTGCAAGGTCAGCAATGAAAATGCCCGCAGCCCTCAGGTTTATTTTAAATGGGTGAGAAGATACTTTCAATGAAACTTTGACCAAACCGAAACATTTGCGCCGTGTGAAATTCGTGCGATTTTTGTTTCTTTACTAAAACAAACGTTTCTCTTTTTGCATGTGTGCAGGAAGCTTGCTTGGAGGAGACTTGACGGTGTTGACTGGTGCAGGCACCAGTCCTTTAGGTGAGCACAAAGTGACCCTCACAGTGACCCTCACAGTGACCCTCACAGTGACCCTCATAGCTACCCTCACAAAGTGACCCTCACAGTGACCCTCAGAGTGACCCTCATATCTACCCTCGCACAGTGACCCTCAGAGCATGACCCCCAGAGTGACCCTCACAAAGTGACCTTCAGAGCGTGAATCTTCAGAATGACCCTCACAGTGACCCTCAGAGAATGACCCTCACAAAGTGACCCTCACAGTGACCCTCAGAGTGACCCTCATATCTACCCTCGCACAGTGACCCTCAGAGCGTGACCCCCAGAGTGACCCTCACAAAGTGACCTTTAGGGCGTGAATCTTCAGAATGACCCTCACAGTGACCCTCAGAGAATGACCCTCACAAAGTGACCCTCAGAGTGACCCTCAGAGTGACCCTCATATCTACCCTCACACAGTGACCCTCAGAGCGTGACCCCCAGAGTGACCCTCACAAAGTGACCTTCAGGGCGTGAATCTTCAGAGTGACTCTCACAGTGACCCTCAGAGTGACCCTCATATCTACCCTCGCACAGTGACCCTCAGAGCGTGACCCTCAGAGTGACCCTCACAAAGTGACCTTCATATTCTTGGTTCTTTCGGTAAAGTCACGTAGAATGGGAATAATAAAATAATAAAAATAAAACATAATAAAATAATTCTCACGACGTGGCCGAAACGTCGTGAGAATTATTTTATTATGTTTCATTTTTATTATTTTATTATTTCCATTATACGTGACTTTACCGAAAGAACCAAGACGATGAATCCCTGCAGTCACGAAAGCTTTAAATCGAAAGTGACCTTCAGTTTTCCTGCCCCGAATGGAGGACTGCCTATCCTTCGTGGTTACTGGAGTGAGAAGCAGTCCACCAGACCCCCTGTAGTCCACAGGACATTCTATGCGAGCCAGCTGCGGTGGCTTCCTGCTGTTTCTGGAGGAACTCCGAGGGGAGGGGCTCACTCTCCTGATTCCACCAAACGGGGCTTGGTCAGAAGACATCGTAGATGCCTGTCCCCCCCCACTGAGGCCTTTGACACAAACGTATTTTGATGATTAAGTGATAAAAAAAATGTTGGTAATTGACTTGAAGGTGGAGGGGTCACCAGCCCCTCGCACCAGGTTACTCATGTGAGGCTGAGTCGACCTAGCGGAGGCCCAGGACCTATTCAGGTATTCATAACTGGTGTTGGTGGCCGGGTTCGTAGCGCGTACGTACGTACACGCACACGCACAGGAACACGTGCGGGGATGCGACAGGTACAACGCAACACATCAACCTGCTATTAGGGACAGAAAATCCCAGACAAATAAATAAATAAGTACAAAGTATAATTTACACTTGTAAAGGCAGCCATGCACACAGTCTTTTTTTAAACACCCATTAACAGGCACAAAGCCGCACTCACAGCGCCGAAGACTGTGATGTAGTGTGTGAGCGCGCGTGTGTGAGCGAGATCGTGTGTGTGCGTGCGAACACGTGTATGTGTGTGTGCAAGCACGCGTGTGCGTGAGCGTGCGCGGAGCGGTGGTGCAGTGGTTAGCGCACTGTGCTGCATACCCAGCGACCAACATCAGTGACGATTATCTGAATGGGTCCTGGGCCTCCCTTAGGTCGACTCAGCCTCATGTGAGTTACCTGGTGCGATGTGTAAACCTGTGGTGCTGGCCACTCACGCCTTTTAGTGCCGTGCCAGCCTTCATCGGTGCTACTTGCTAACGGCACTTGCCCCAACAGTCTGTTAAGGCTTAAGGCAAAATCTTTGTCGTTGTGTGAACGTGTGAATTTTTTGCAGACCTATGTGTGTGAGTGTGATTGTGAGTTTGAGCGCGTGTGAGCGCGTGAGGAGCGGTGGCGCACTAGTTAGGGCACTGCACTACGAACCCTCTTTAACTGGTCCTGGACCTCCTCTAGGTCGAGTCAGCCTCAAAAGTAGCACCTGGTGCGGTGTGTAAAGATCGCCACCGGTCGGGCGTGGTGCTGACTACTCACCCCTTTGTGTGCTATGCCGGCTTTCATAGGTTGCTACTTGCCCCAACAGTCTGTTAAGGCTCCACGGGGGGGGGGTCTTTGTTTGTGGTTGTGTGTGGTGTGTGTGTGTTTTTTTACACGTAGGAGAAAACTGAAATGCCCAGCGAAAACCCACGCACATGAGGCAGGATAGCGCGCATTGCTCCACACAGACATGATGAGCAACTGTGATCTGTTGATGGGTACGCTTTGTACGAGTCGCTCATGACTGACGGCCCCTGTGAAAAAAGAGCTTCACGGCTCATCGGATTTCCCCGACTGTCTGTGCGTACGCGTACATCACGTGCTTGTCGTTTTCCTGTGCCACCAGCAAACGGCTACCCTCATCAGAGAGGGTCGCCAGGTATTCTGGGCCCTGGTGGTCATGTGATCCGGCCTGGGGGGGGCGGCCTGGCCGCCAAGAGCCCCCCCCCGCCGCAAGGGCACCCCCTACGCAAGCCAGACCTGCGAGCGGTTGTACCCCAGAGTTGCAAGAATCCTGCTGGCAGCATGGTGAGTGCCGAGATAACGGCGGTGGCGGTACGCGTGGTGTGGTTGTAAGGTGTGTGTGTGAGTAATGGCACATTTGGTGGTGTGGCTGTAAGGTGTGTGTGTGAGTGACGGCACATTTGGTGGTGTGTGTGTATGTGTGTGTGTGAGTGTGTGATGGTGGTGTGGCTGCAGGTGTGTGTGTGAGTGTGTGATGGTGGTGTGGCTGTAAGGTGTGTGTGAGTGATGGCACATTTGGTGGTGTGGCTGGAGGTGTGTGTGTATGTGTGTGATGGTGGTGTGGCTGGAGGTGTGTGTGTATGTGTGTGATGGTGGTGTGGCTGGAGGTGTGTGTGTATGTGTGTGATGGTGGTGTGGCTGTAAGGTGTGTGTGTATGTGTGTGATGGTGGTGTAGCTGGAGGTGTGTGTGTATGTGTGTGATGGTGGTGTGGCTGCAGGTGTGTGTGTATGTGTGTGATGGTGGTGTGGCTGTAAGGTGTGTGTGTATGTGTGTGATGGTGGTGTGGCTGGAGGTGTGTGTGTATGTGTGTGATGGTGGTGTGGCTGGAGGTGTGTGTGTATGTGTGTGATGGTGGTGTGGCTGTAAAGTGTGTGTGTATGTGTGTGATGGTGGTGTGGCTGGAGGTGTGTGTGTATGTGTGTGATGGTGGTGTAGCTGTAAGGTGTGTGTGTATGTGTGTGATGGTGGTGTGGCTGTAAGGTGTGTGTGTGAGTGACGGCACATTTGGTGATGTGACTGGAGGTGTGTGTGTATGTGTGTGATGGTGGTGTGGCTGGAAGTGTGTATGTGTGTGATGGTGGTGTGCGCTGGGTATGTGAGTGACGGCACAGTTGGTGGTGTGTGTGTATGTGTGTGATGGTGGTTTGGCTGGAAGCGTGTGGGTGATGGTGGTGTGACTGGAGGTGTGTGTGTGAGTGATGGTGGTGTGGCTGGAAGCGTGTGGGTGATGGTGGTGTGGCTGGAAGCGTGTGGGTGATGGTGGTGTGGCAGTCGGCGTGTGAGTGAGAGAGCAAGGGCGCAGTTGGGTGGTTTGGCCGATTTCTGGCTGGCATGGCCAAAAGTGAGTTTGGCGAGTGCGCCAACAAGGACGGTCTTTTACGCCCAACCTCGACGGCGCCAACGGAGGAGTGGGCGCCATGTGCACGCCCCGATGATCTCGGCGGCGGCGGCGATGAAGGGGGGGGCGAACCATGTCGTCCGCGACAAAGCCGAACGCTCACCGCTCCATCGTGTTGTTGCGAAATCCCTTGAATTGAATCATCTATTACTCGTTATCCCACCGTCCCTTCGTTGCAGTTTGAGCGGGGGGGGGGGGGCGAACCGTGTCGTCCGCGACAAAGCCGAACGCTCACCGCTCCATCGTGTTGTTGCGAAATCCCTTGAATTGAATCATCTATTACTCGTTATCCCACCGTCCCTTCGTTGCAGTTTGAGCGGGGGGGGGGGGTGCGGTTTCTGGTGGGAGAGGGGGTGAGGGTGGGGAATGGGTGGGGGGGGTGGTGGGGGGGGGGTGAGGTGGGGGGGGTGAGGTGGGGGGGGGTGGTGGTGGGGGGGTGAGGTGGGGGGGACAGCGACACACACAAAAAAAAATGTGCCGAATATAACAGCTCAGTGTCTTGGTCACTGAGACGGCTTAATTGGCATCACAACTTTGGAGGGGTGTTAATGGGGATTTGACGATTCGTGAGACGTTTGTGTGCCCGTGTTATGCAAAATAATTGGACTTTCGGATCGTGCAATACAGTATTTAAAAAGACCTGTCAAGCCACGATAACGTGTTAAAACGCTAATGATGGGCATTAATTACATATATACTTTTTTTTTAAATATGTATTTCTATATATATAGGCATGTCCACACGTAGACAAAATTAAAAGGATGTTATATAACACACGTCGTTATCGAGCTGCACCTGGCGAGCCCGAGTTTGATTCCCGGCCACGGCCAACGTCACCGTGGCGAGCGCTGTCCAAAGCCATCGGACGGAATCCGGTGAGCTGTGAAGCTCTTTTTCGCAGATGTCCAGTCAAAGCCTTACTGTCACCAGCGTGCTCGATCAACCCCCGGGGCGAACATGGTCACGTGGGGAGACGTTCATCGAGCAGTGGATTTGGCCAAAGGCCCCGTACATTATGGGTTTAAAAATGTATTTGATCAAATATTAAATTTCGATTTAAAGCTTTCGTGACTGCAAGGATTCATCTTCTTGGTTCTTTCGGTAAAGTCACGTAGAAGGGAAGTAATACAATAATACAAATAAAACATAATAAAACAATTATTATTTTATTACTTCCCTTCTACGTGACTTTACCGAAAGAACCAAGAAGATGATCAAATATTCTCGTCAAGAGCTAAATTCCGATGTTGAGGTCTGCTCGCCACGAGAGGGCTTAAGAAGAGATAATGTTAATGGATATCCATTGTAATTTATGGATATCCATTGTAATTTATGGCTATCTATTGTAATTTATATTCATACATTAACCACGACCCCCCCCCCCTCCTCTGGCCTTCGCAACCGATTGGCTCACAAGTGATGACATCACATTTATCCCCGCTAGTAAAGACCGAAACAGGAAAAGGATTTCTCCACAACTCTGTGGCTGTCGCCTGATGATGCTGGTTGTTGTTGTAATTACCGGCGAAACGTCACGGCACTCGAATCGTAAATGAATGTAGTGGGTTCACTCTCCGACACACCGGTGTGCTGTACTAGTAACGAATTGGCACGTTCTGTTTACGTGACACACAGGGGCGGTTTCTTCATTAGGGCGATTGGGCGACGCACCACCAATGTCATTCAACCACAGAGTCACGCTAGCCGTCACTGTCAGCCTCTGGATATAGTCCAATCAGCGTCATGTCACGTTCTGTGGAGTACCGCCTCTTTTGGGGCGATTTCACTCCGGCTGAGAATCGCCCCGAGTGGCCCCATAGACTTACATTCAAAGATGTTTTTTTTCGAACGGGGGCGCTCCAATGCATTCTCTATGGCTTCCGGGAGGGCAAGCCCTAACGTGCTTACGTCATCATACGTGCTAACGTCATCATACGTAAGCACGTTTCATCCAACAATATAATTTATCGCTACCTAGTGGAATCTTTAATAAAATAAACTTGAGTGGTTTGTTTTAATAGTGAGTATATAAACAAACAAGATGTATTGTAAGAGTCACTTTATTTTTCATTAATATTAAAGAAGTGAAGTTGCCTTTACATGCTTAAGCTGTTAACTTATTCATTGCATGGGTGGACCTTATCCTTATCAATCATCCAGACATTTGCCCCCCCTGAGAGATTTTGCAGGAGCCGCCACTGGTGACACACCTTAGTTATTGGCTGTGTCGGGCGGTGGCGGGTTTAACAACACATTTGTATTTACGCGATCTAACCCAGAAACCTCTATTATAGATAATATTGGTCGCGAATGCCTACCACGTGTTAAACTTAAGGAGACAGTTTCTCTATAAAACATTTCGTTATCTGCTTTTGCCCCCTGCCAACTGCTAGGGCTTTTAATGGCACGTAAAGATGAAATCGCATTTATAAGCATATATATGCGTGTTTTTATTACCGTGAATAAGACATTATTTCAGTAAGTTGCGGTCTAGATACGATAACGTTTGCATTAAAGCTGGTATGAAGTCACTTTACAGCTCTCAATGGAGATGTACATTCGATACTTACTTTCAACAGTCAAAATAAAGCGGCCTTTTATCGCCACCAACAGGAAAATTACATTCGTTTAAAACATTTCTTCTTAAGAACACACGAGTTACGGGATTGATTTTTAAACGACGTCTCTGTGCCTTTCTATCCCCTTGCAGAATCAAAGGTTAACAAATTCCCACGCTTTGCAAGCCTTGGTGACACCCAGCCAACTCAGCAGCTACCAACCAAACTACAGCACAGGTGAGTGTAACCTCCTTCCCACAATCCCTTGCACTGCGGCCCCTTTTGCGACTTTGTACGTATGTAGAACTTTTTTCCCGCCGTACGTAGCCAACCGTGCGAATCGGAGGTACGGTGGGGCGGGGGAAGGACAGCAAACTAAACACAAAAAGAGTTCGGAAGCAATGCGTTTTCAACGTAGATTACTTAACAGTTGCATAGCTCCAGTGGCTTCTTCATATCGGATGGAAGAGCGTTCCAGACGGCCGCAGAAACGATCGCCGCTCGACGCTTGTGCTCCGCGCTACGATTTGATTGGGTTAGCCGAGTCAGTCGGTCGGTCGGTCGGTGGCGAGTTCTTAGCACCACAGGCTCGCGACGGAACCCGTGAGCGGACAACTCCGCATACGCGTCAGATCTCGGGGGCTAGGCGAGGGTTTGAGACTGGAGAATGCTTGGAGGGGGGCGACCGTCGAAGACGCCTGCTGACTGTTGAGAAACTTACACACACGTGACGCTGGGGCTGCACACCTCGTGACCACGAGAGGGGCGGCGGTTGATGGAAGACAGAGGAGGGAACCGTGGAGACGGAGCGATGGGATCGGATCACGCGCAGGACCGCGGTGGACTGTGACGCCGTGGGACTGTTGAGGATTGGCGACGGTGTGGGGCAGAGGTTGCAAACGGGTTTTGATTCCTTACCCGTACCCGTACCCGGCCGCACCAGGGTCGCAAACGGGTACCCGTACCCATACCCGGCCGGGTACGGGTAGCCGTTCCCTACCCGTACCCTACCCGAAATGAGTGACAAACGGTTACTCACCAGTGACTCACGGCCTACCCGTACCCATACCCGGCCGGGTACGGGTAGCCGTTCCCTACCCGTACCCTACCCGAAATGAGTGACAAACGGTTACTCACCAGTGACTCACGGCCTACCCGCACCCGGCCGGGTACAGGTACCCGTTCCCTACCCGTACCCTACCCGAAATGAGTGACAAACGGTGACTCACCAGTGACTCACGGCCTACCCGTACCCGTACCCGGCCGGGTACGGGTACCCTGTTCCCTACCCTTACCCTACCCGAAATGAGTGACAAACGGTTACTCACCAGTGACTCACGGCCTACCCATACCCGTACCCGGCCGCACCAGGGTCGCAAACGGGTACCCGTACCCGTAATCTGGCCGGGTACGGGTAGCCGGGTATCGGGTAGGGTACGGGTATCGGGTACCCGGTTGCGACCTCTGGTGTGGAGGGATAGCCCTCGTCCAGGAGTGGATAGACTATGACTGCTCATGATGATGATAATGGGATTTGCCGATGGGAACAATAATTTACGGAACTTTGTTCAATCCACCGCTGGACGAAGGCCTATCCTCCCGATGTCGCGTCGGTCACAGGGGGCTGATCGACCACAATTCACCATGCTGGCTCTGGTCACCAGTGCGGGCTGGCGAGAGAGTATTTTAAATATATATTTTGTTTACACGCCCTCATTAGCTTGTGAGTAAATGTATTGCGTAACAATTTAGTACAGACACAGGGGGTGGGTGTATATACGAGGCCCCCTTCTAAAGGCAGCTCAATCCAGTCACAAACTACCTCCGTGCGTTTTCTCGTCAAACCAAAAAAAAAAGGACACTTCACCTAAAGGGGCTTTCAAATAAAGCATTCCATTGATGGGGCCTGGAATTTAAGCCGAAACATTCCTCGCTTTCTCTGTTTCGCTTTTCCGAATAAAAGTCCTAAGATTTCCCCCCCTCCCTCCCTCCCCCCGGTAAACGAAACGCGAAAACAAAACGAAACGCGAAACCCTCGCGGAATAGCGGCGAGTTGTGTTGGTGCCCAGCGTCGACTCGCAGCCGCAGGTGGTGGTGCCGGTGGTGGTGGCGGTGGCGGTGGTGGTGGCGGTGATGGTGGTGGCGGTGGCCCTGTTGACCGGTGGGAAGGCCCATGGAACGTGGCAGGGCCGCTCGGCGTTTTCGTTTTTTTTTCCACGGCTCTCCCAAACAGTTTTTCGGGGGGTCGTGTCCGCACGATGTCCGACGTTTCGCCCCCCCCCCCCACCCACCCACCCACGTGCTTGCAGCTTCCTCAGCGACTTAATTTGAGCATATCTCCACGTTGCCCTGGGAGGTTCTTCGGAAAATGCAGGAATTTTTTTACTGCAATCCTCGCCTTTTTTGGCATTGAAAAATGCCCCCTTATATGACCTCACTAATTGCTGCACTAATCGGAGGTGCAGGCGGACGACCCGAAACTGGCGTCGACAATCGGAGGGGCCTTTTCAATCCGATGGGGTGGGGGTGGATAAATCATCTGGTGGGGGGGGGGGGGGCGGCGGTGGTGGGGCGGGGGTTGGCCCAGTTTGTTTTTAACCGATGGTGAGAACCCACCGAGATGCGGTGTCTGGTGTCTGTCTCGCAAGTGAGACGCTTGAGTCGGGAAAAAAACAAACATCTACGCACACCGGGGCGGCGGCGTCAAATCACTCGACGCGCGGCCGCAGCCACCGGCGGCTTTACACGGCGGGCGCGGTGTTTTTTTTCTTCTTCTTCCAACCGCGCCGACCGGTGTACGGCAAGAGAAAGAAAGGAAGGAAAAAAACGCGCGAGGCGGAAAACATCTGGGGAAATTGCATTTGCCGCGAGAGTAGCGGTTCCGGAACACGGGCGCAGCCCCGGCAACTGCTCGCTCGCTCGACCGCCCACCACGTTGCTTAAACTATAATATAGATTTTTTTTTATTTTTACCAGGTAAGGCCCACTGAGCTACGTAGCTATTTTTCAGAAGCGACCTGGCCACACAGGTGATAGCACAACGAAGCGGCTTTTCGTCAGATGTTTATAGCGGCCGAATGACTCTATGATTCTAAATGCGGAGGGAAAAACCGGAGGAAAAATCCACGCTACCACGGGGAGAACATGCAAACTCCACATTTACAGGGTATCAGAGTTTGGATCGAAGCCACAACTTCCTGTATACCAGGAAAAGGGGTTAACATCTCACCACTGTGCTAGCGGAAGGGCTTCGACTGGAGCGAGCTCCATAAAGACCGGTCTAGAGGGAGGGTGATTTGGTCTGCTCTTTCTTCCATGCTGGCCAAACGTCTTGGCACTGGTGGAAGTTCCCACACTTTACTACCCCACCACATTTGACCTGCCGACCATAGGCCATCTCTGCTGTAAACTATGGGATAATTTTCGCCGGTACCAAAACGATGTGTGGTCCATGCAAACTTGATGCCTTGCAAAGAGGTTCCTATTTGATGTTTGAACATCTCGACACCATGTGGTGAAGCCTGTTCTCTTTTTAAATCCTTTATATTAAGTTCACTTGCTTGCGCGCTTATGCCGTGCAAATCTTTCAGGTCGTTTTTTAACCCACTTCCCGTGATCCAATCGAGCTGACATTTTGCACACAGACTCGTTGTGCGTGACAATAATTACCAATTGCTTAATGGTGGCAGGCAATCATCTGATCCATAGGTGGCAGCCATCTCAAGCCAGAGGACGAGAGGACTCTAGCCGCCACGCATATAAAGGATTTAGAGTGAAAAACGTTGTTTTTACGGGTTAATTTTTTTCATCATTTTGATACCGGCAAACAAAGAAAAGAAGAGTCCTATAGATAGAACTGCTTAGCCCGAGCTTATTATTGTTTTGACATTGGCATTTCCTTTTGTGGTGTACGACTTTTGGCGTTGTTCTGCTGGTCTAACACCGGTGGTGAGACGAGGCAATCAAGGAGGCTGTAGCTGTGGTGTAGGCCAATCAGTTTCAAGGACATTGCATGTTGCCTTGATGCCTTGAAACAGGTGTGGACATCTTAAACACCTCCTGGATTATCGCCGGGAAGGGCAAAGCCGATTATTATTTTTCCCATCAAGCCTCGTGTAGTCATTATACAGGATATAGACAGCTGGCGTCCGAGATGCATTCATACAGCAGTGGAATGATCATGACTGGATTATAATTTTTTGTTGACATTCAAATGTTTCGTCGTCAAATGCGAATATTTATTTTGAAGCGAGAGTAGTTGTTAATTATTAAGCTAACAATAACACATATACGTGTCTAAAAAAAATAACACGTGAAATCTAAGAACATTTCAAAGCGTGAAATTATATGGAGACTGACCATAATTATTTCAACGGCAATAAATAACGAATTAATGACTCTTCTTGGTTCTTTCGGTAAAGTCACGTAGAATGACTCTGACTCTGTCTTCTCGACAGACCTGTTCTCCACCTGAGGACGGCTGCTTGCGTTGTGGCCGAAACGTCGTGAGAATTATTTTATAATGTTTTATTTTTATTATTTTATTATTTCTATTCTACGTGACTTTACCGAAAGAACCAAGAAGATGAATCCCTGCAGTCACGAAAGCTTTAAATCGAGAATTAATGACTGTTGAATGGACTGCAGGGATGAAGGCCTCCCTCCAAGACTTCAGCGTTGGCCTTGTGGGGTTGTTTGACCATACTTCACCACACTGGGCAAGTGCATAGCTGTCAACCCATCACGGTTTACTCCGAAGTCTTGTACAGAGACACATTGAGTTTCAGGTCTATACGGCGTACAGCCGTTTCAATACGAGAGAAAAAAATGTGTCTATTTGTTTGTGTGTCTCCCTTGTGATGGAACTTTGTAGGATGAACGTTGAGATTATAAGGGCACGGGGTGACCAATAAGGTCTGAATTGGTCTGTAATAAAGTAGGGCCACTGATAAGGGGTTGCCAGGTAGAAGATTGGCTCCAGTGAGTGGGAGCTAATAAATAAACAAACGCACAAAGGGAGCTAGTGAATACACAAACAGCGAACGCCAACAATTAATAAGTGAGTTAACACGTGGCTTTCGCGACGAGTGTGATTCATAATGAAGGTTTTTGGGTGAGATCGCGATCTAGCCCAAAAACCTTTATTATGAATTAATTAGTCAGTTCAACCATATTCACCCGACTGAAGTTTTAAATAAAATCAAATGTGTAAACATTAATACCACGCGCGTATGAGCTCATTGCTTCTCGGGTGTGAGAAGAATAGCGGGCCTTCACACAACAACATAAAGCAACGTTTTACAACATTTTTTTGCGAGTTTTAACTCAAAAAAATAATCATTCCAGTCAAAGCCGGATGTAAGCACACCATATCTAAGCGCTGTTCTAATATAAGCAACACGTGCTTGCTGGCTTACATTACACCGCTGGTTAAAGGAGGACACGGGATATTCAGCTTCAATGGGTTTTACTCGGCAAATACGCCTCTGAAACGTGAGCTTCTGATACAAGCACACCACTTCGCTCCGAATATAAGCACACCTCTTGGGCTAGCTTCCAAAGGGTTGTTAGTTTAACGCGTAGTAGGCTTTTGCGACCAATATCCATAATACAGGTTTTTTTTTTGTTTAGATCGCGTTAATCTAGAAATGCGTCGTTAAACATGCCAATTCGTTGTTAGTACATCAAACCGGTGTGTTGTAACTCTTGTGGATTTGCTCTCCAACACACAACCGGTTAGTGCTGTGCTCGTAACGAATTGGCCACGTTCTGTTCACGTGACAAAGCTCACTAATTGGCCGTGTCGGGTGGTGGCGGGGTTTAACGACACATTCATATATTTACACGATATAACCCCAGAAAAAGCCACGTATCATGGAGGGTTGCCAGTGTGTTGACGGGAGCTTATTCTTCTTTTTCCTTCCTTGTGTTTGATTACCCTTTAAATAAACCACGCGGGCCCGAGGGTGGGTGGGGTGTGGGGGTCCACATGACTGCCGACTTGACCTTGCAGAAGGAATCTGTGCGGCTGATGACAGACTGAACGGGTTGTTGTTATTGTTGTTGTCATAGATTGGTACGGTACGGGTAGTGGTCTAGATTAGCGGGCGAGTTCGATTCCCCCCCCCCGCTCACGGCCAACACCAAGTGACGATTATCTGAACCGGGTCCTGGGCATCCTCCTCTAGGTCGACTCAGCCGCAAATGAGTACCCGGTGCTGTGTTGTAGTAAAGCTGAATAGGTAGTCGTGCTTTCACGACCACTGTTACTCATAATATCGGTGGAAGGGAGGGGTGGGTTAGATCGCGTAAATATAAATGTGTCGTTAAACCCGCCACCACCCGACACAGCCTAATTAGGGTGGCTTTTCACGTTAACAGAACGTGTCAATTCGTTACGAGTTCAGCACCAACCGGTGTGTTGGAGAGCAAAGCCACAACATTTACAATTCGAGTTCTGTGACATTTGGCCGGAGTGGCGATGGAGTAACATCGATGTAGTATTAGTAACATCGCTACTCGGTGTGCCGTGCCAGTTGTATACATAATCATGATTATGACGATCTTACCGCCCCTGGCTGCTTCGGAATTAAAATTCAAGAGCGCCCTCCAGCGTCTGGAAAAGAGGGTTCACTCACTGAGGCCAATGCATCGCCAGGGCCTGTGAGGTCGACCCACCCACCACCACCAAAATTAAATTGAAAACTAATTTCTTGAAAACGGGCTTTGTGCTTTTATATTCTTAGGTTTTTTTCGGTAAAGTCACGTAGGTAAAACATTTAAATAAATGTTTTACCTACGTGACTTTACCGAAAAAACCTAATAATATGAATCCTTGCAGTCACGAAAGCTTCAAATCTAGAATTTGTGCTTATAGTTTGTTGTCCTTCCCCTGCACCTCTTATTATCACGGTTGGTTACGTACGGTGCGCAAGAACTTCAACATGCATACAACATACAACATACACCTGCCCTGTGCCACGTGAACCTCGTTACAGACGGCGCCACCACCGTTCACGTCATCGTCGTCGTCGCCGCCGTCGACGATGGGAATTTAGAACCCGCCACGATCGAGTTGGCCGTGTCGCGTCGGTCGATAGTCAGATATGACAAACCCATTTCTTCAGACGTGCTTTCTGCGTTCAGTTTGTCTTCCTTCTGCTGCCGTCACCTCCGATTAGAGGCGGTTGGCTACGTACGGTGCGAAAGAAGTTCAACGTTGATAATTGTTTTTTTACCCTTCTATCTGGCAACAAAACTGACACCTTTTTTTACAAGGAGTCATGTTTGCATAGACCACAATACCTGCAGCCATAATGCAAACAAAAAACATAACTCTGATAATGTGCACTGTCCTTGAAGTTGATTGGTCCACACCCGAGACAGCTTTCCTTAGAGCCTAGTCTCGCATGGGTTGGACCAGATGACGCCAAAAGGCGCACAACTCAAAGACAATGCACCATCAGAGTATGATAGCTCGGGGTAAGCATTTACACCATTGGAACCTCATTTGCCAGTAAAAAATATGATAATTGTTTTTTAACCCTTCTATCTGGCAACAAAACTGACATCTTTTTTACAAGGAGTCATGTTTGCATAGACCACAATACCTGCAGCCATAATGCAAACAAAAAACATAACTCTGATAATGTGCACTGTCCTTGAAGTTGATTGGTCCACACCCGAGACAGCTTTCCTTAGATCCTAGTCTCACATGGGTTGGACCAGATGACGCCAAAAGGCGCATTATGACTGCAGGTATTGTGGTCTATGCAAACATGACTCCTTGTAAAAAATGTGTCAGTTTTGTTGCCAGATAGAAGGGTAAAAAAACAATTATCATATTTTTTACTGGCAAATGAGGTTCCAATGGTGTAAGTTCAACGTTGCGTACGTCGGTGACCCGTGGTCCGTGTGTTGTCCGTCGCAGAGTACGCGCTGTCGAGCGCCGACCTGTCGGGCCTCACTGGGTTCAACTCTCCCGGCTCTTTAAGCATCAGCTCCCTCTCCAACTGGCACCACCAGCAGGGCACCAACATCAACCAGCTGCTGTGAGTGACACTCGGAGCACAGCGGGCGGGCGTTGGTTCAATCGCTCGCTCGCTCGCTCGCTCATTCATTTACTCATTTAACCACTGTCTCACTCATTCAACCACTCGCTCACTCGCACGCTCAGTCGCTCATTCATTTACTGATTCAGCCGCTCGTTCGCTCTTTCCACCACTCGCACGCTCAGTTGCAGCACTACCCAAAGACTCAACACTGCCCATAGACTCAGCACTGCCCATAGACTCAACACTGCCCACAGACTCAACACTGCCCATAGACTCAATACTACCCCATAGACTGAACACTACCCATAGACTCACACTACCCATAGACTCAACACTGCCCACAGACTCAACACTGCCCATAGACTCAACACTACCCATAGACTCAACACTACACCATAGACTCAACACTACCCATAGACTCAACACTACCCATAGACTCAACACTGCCCATAGACTCAACACTACCCATAGACTCAACACTACCCATAGACTCAACACTGCCCCTAGACTCAACACTACCCATAGACTCAACACTGTCCATAGACTCACACTACCCATAGACTCAACACTACCCATAGACTCAACACTACTCATAGACTCAGCACTGCCCATAGACTCAACACTACCCATAGACTCAACACTACCCATAGACTCAACACTACCCATAGACTCAACACTGCCCATAGACTCAACACTACCCATAGACTCAACACTACCCATAGACTCAGCACTGCCCATAGACTCAACACTACCCATAGACTCAACACTGCCCATAGACTCACACTACCCATAGACTCAACACTACCCATAGACTCAACACTACTCATAGACTCAACACTGCCCATAGACTCAACACTACCCATAGACTCAACACTACCCATAGACTCAACACTACCCATAGACTCAACACTACCCATAGACTCAACACTACCCATAGACTCAACACTGCCCATAGACGAAACACTGCCCATAGATTCACACTACCCATAGACTCAACACTAACCATAGACTCAACACTGCCCATAGACTCAACACTACCCATAGACTCAACACTGCCCATAGACTCAACACTACCCAAAGACTCACACTGCCCATAGACTCAACACTACCCATAGACTCAACACTACCCATAGACTCAACACTACCCATAGACTCAACACTGCCCATAGACTCAACACTGCCCATAGACTCACACTACCCATAGACTCAACACTACCCCATAGACTCAACACTGCTCATAGACTCAACACTACCCATAGACTCAACACTATCCATAGACTCAACCCTACCCATAGACTCACACTACCCATAGACTCAACACTACCCCATAGACTCAACACTACCCATAGACTCAACACTACCCATAGACTCAACATTGCCCATATACTCAACACTGCACCACAGACTCAACACTGCCCACAGACTAACACTACCCATAGACTCAACACTGCCCATAGACTCAACACTACCCATAGACTCAACACTACCCATTGACTCAACACTACCCATAGACTCAACACTACCCATAGACTCAACACTACCCATAGACTCAACACTACCCATAGACTCAACACTGCCCATAGACTCACACTACCCATAGACTCAACACTGCCCATAGACTCAACACTACCCATAGACTCAACACTGCCCATAGACTCAACACTACCCATAGACTCAACACTACCCATAGACTCAACACTACCCATAGACTCAACACTACCCCATGGACTCAACACTACCCATAGACTCAACACTGCCCATAGACTCAACACTACTCATAGACTCAACACTACCCATAAACTCAACACTACCCATAGACTCAACACTGCCCATAGACTCAACACTACTCATAGACTCAACACTACCCATAAACTCAACACTACCCATAGACTCAACACTGCCCCTGTGCTTGAAGCAGTCCCCCTCCTTAACCTCCTTCTGTTCCTCTCTCGAAGCCTCACCTATTCTCCATCACCCATTGCCTTCCCCTCGCCCCTCCACTCCGTCCAATCCCTCCCCTCTAGCCCTTTCGTCACCCCCACGTGCCCTAAATTTCGATCACACACTTCTCGGGCCCTTGCACTAACCCCCGCTATCTCAACCACTCTCGCGTTTTTTTTTGTTGCCGCTTGTAAAACTGCGTCACGGAGCACCTCGAGCTAATGCGTTGTCCCGTCGCAGGTCGTGCGGCTACCCGAGCGTCAAGTCGGAGCCGCTGTCTCCGTCGCGGGACCCCATCTCGTCGGGCGGTGGTCCCGGCTACCCGGGGGCCGCCACCATGCAGCGGCAGGACCCCCTGGGGCGTCCGAGCGAACGCCTGAGCCCCTACGAGGGTGGCGAGCCGGATGACCCCTGCGGCGGCACCGGGGGCGACTACCTCATGCCCGCCGGGATGGGTCGGGCGGGGCAGCATCCTCATCAGCAGCAGCAGCAGCAGCAGCATCATCAGCAACAGCAACAGCAGCAGCAGCATCATCAGCAGCATCATCAGCACCACCTCCATCAGCAGCAGCAGCAGCAGCATGAGGCAAGCGGAGGGGAAGGGCCGTTGTTGAAGAGGGCGCGGCTCACGGAGAGTTGGGCGACGTAGGGCGCCACGTGGCGTCGACGGAAACGAGAAACCCCACGGCGGTCGATAGCGGTAACAACAAACAAACAACAACAACAACGTTAGAAACAACGGCAACGCGTATTTTAACCTCCCCCCGCAAATTGAGAAAACTTTCTAATTTAATGTAGTTGTAATACTACTACTAATAATGGTATAAGTAAAGAAATTTCTAAGAAAATAGAGGTGAGCATAAAGACTGGAGTGAAATATCACACACACACCACAACAACAACAACTAGTAGAACTATCAACAAAGGCATCAACGAGCAAATTTTTTTTTTTTTAGGAAAACGCCGCGATTCCCCAAAACGGCCGTTTAAAAGACCGAGGCATTTACGGGTTGCGTACGTTTAATTTGAGCCGTTTAAAGCAAGACGGCCGAGCATTATACCTGTACAGAATAAAAGCGCACCTAGCCTGGCACAACGGGCCGCGGTTTGGCGTCGCTCGGCGGGGCCACCGTGCTCGCGACGCGGGGCGAGAGACGTTTAGAATAATAAAGAGATAAACACAAACATGTTAACTTGACGTTGGGGCACTCCTCCGAGTGTGAACCGCGGGCACGGGTCGGGGGGGCGGGGGGGGAGAGGGGTGCGAAAGCCGCTGAGCGGTTGGGCGAGCGAGCCGAACAAAGCTGAGGAGTTATCGTTTTTATTTTATATACAAACTGTTCTGTTTAAAAAACAAAAAAGATGTTAAAAATCAACGCTCGTGCGCGCGCGCGCGCCGCACACACGCAACAATGCACAGCGACAGACGAACAAACGGAACGACGAGCGTGCGTCTCGGTCGCGGGGAACGTGAAACCCTCGACGACCGCCCGTCGCGTTCGAGCCGGTTCCTTCCACAAGCGGAAGGTGGTGATCCGTTTAGAGACGCCCCGACAGAATAACGGCGACTTGCGAGCCGTTCACCCAGGAGAGGGAAAAGACGATTTTTATTTCGGAGTCCCACCGGTAAGGTCAACGCGCTCCCCCTCGCACCTTGTAACGCTCGGCCTCCTCAAGGCACGGGGTGCGGTGGGGGCGGGGGGCAGTCGCGTTCACAGTGTCCACTCGCTCGTTGAGAAGAGAGAGAGAAGATATCTGCGGGGTGTCTGTAAATGGATCACCATGTATTTTCACGGGCAGCAAGGCCGCATGGTGAACCGGTCGTAGGCACGATTCACTGGCCCCTTACACCACCCCCCCCCCCCCCCCCTATTCCACCCGTGGCGCCACCACGATTCAATTGCTGGGTCAAACGTCCGATTATTTAAAAGTTCGATTGTGTTTTTGTCTCGTTTGTATTTGTGCAGAGTCAATTGTCTTTCGTTTGTCCCGTCTCGTTCGTTCCATTAGCCCTTCCGTAGCCCTTTGCGTGCGGATTACACACAAGTCATAACCAATCGGCTATCACCCGCACAATTTTAATTTGTCTAACACACGCGTATAAGAACCGATGTTGATCCGATTCGTTCCGTGCCTGTGAACTGCGAAGCCGTCACGAACCACAGCAGAACTTTATCTCAAACTTTGCTCATCGCCAAAAAACGTAATTTGGCCAAACATTACATGCAGGCGGACTCTCACAAACTAAATAAAAGTCTTGGGGACTCAGGGAAGCTCTCCTAAGTCAACACATCGCAAATTGGAGAAAAATGTACGATTATGTCACGGCTTTGTTGCTTTACATAACCGATCGTTTCAAGCGGCATTGTTTTTTTTTGGGATTTGGCGAATCGATCGTTCGTCTCTGCACCCTTCCACAACCTACGGCACCTCCGTCACGACGACGCGAGCGGTCCGAGGCCGTGGCCCTCTGCGAAGCCCTTGGGCAGCGCGACGCGTGTCGTCCCCTGCCTCCCTCCCTGACACGACGCTCATCTCGAGACAACCGCGGACGAACGGGGCGGGCGTTAGAGTGGTGGCGCCGTATCAAGATTCGCGCGCGCCGCTTTTTTGTTTTCACCGCTGCGTCGCGTCGGTCGCGGCTAGCCCGGCGAGCGAATTTATTTCGGGTAAAGTGAGCGAGCGCGGTGGCAGTGCGCGCCGCCCAAGACAGGCTGCTGCTGCGTGGGCGTTTTTCTTTTTTCTTGTTTTCCTCCGCGGTCGCGCTGAAGTGCGGCTCTCCGACGTGATTTCAGGGCGTGCCTGCGTACTGCTCGGCGCGGAGTCCGACGTTTCGCCCCACGTGCTTGGGAGCGCAACGTGCGACAACCGCGTCCCTGAAAACACACCGGAGACCCCCAGCCTGCCTGACCTCGCTGCAGACAATCGTGGACGCACAGCCAAAGGCTTAAACGCAGGCTGCCACACCCTGGATATTGTCTGCTAATTTAAAAAAATATATATTGTAAAAATGAGAGCACACAAAACAACTTATTGGCATTTGTAGATGTTTTTTTTATTGTACATGTTATTTTAATGAGTTTTATTGGGCGAGGACAAACGGCGCCCCCCTATGTATGATTGGTCAAACGTGAAAAGCCATAACAGTCTCTTGGAGATGCCTCTGACTGCGTGACCTCTAACCCCAAGCGCTCCGCGCAAAACTGCCCCGGCCATTGACAATCGATCGGCACCCTGCCGAGAAAGAATTATTTTCAAATCTGCGCACGTTCAAAAAAATGTTCACGCTTTAGAGAGAAAACAATATATTTTTTTCCAGCGGAGTGGACTTTCGTCACTGATTTTTCTTCTGGGGTTCCCTAAATATTTGTTGAGCTTGGTCGGCGAAGGAATGGGAAGACTCTTGTCTTTTTATATCTATATATATATTATAACTACTACTACTACTATTTATTGTCCTAGAATATTTATATTCTCTTGGAAAAGGCAGCGGCTGCTTGCACTGCGTAGGAGAGTAATCTTTCGACGGACACGATCTGGCACTTGTTCATTTCACAAGTTCACGCGAGGAAACGTCGCATCTCGCAGTGTGAATGGAAGGAAAAAAACACACATTCAAGATTTGTGTTTTAGCATTCACTGTTAACTTGCGAACCGACGCAATAACAAGCCATATGTAAGTAACAAAACAAATACAAAATACTTTCGCACATCGTCACAACTTTGTATGGAACTCGAACACACAAACACTTTGTCTGGCACTCTCAAAAAGAAGGAATGCCACTTTGTAACAGCGCGGGGGAGCACGGTGGGGATGTGAATAATCGTTGAAAATGTATCGTGTAGAATAAGACACCCATCTCACCTGGGGTGAGAAACGGGGGGGGGGGGGGGGCACTTGATTAGTAGCTGTGGTTTGTTGCATTGCATTGTGGGAAGTCCCTACCCAGCCTTATAAGTCTTACCTAGGCCTCGCCATCCATCCCGGGTTTTTTCTCCCCAGAGATCGTCCTTTCTTTCGTGGTAGCTGTCATTAGAATCCTGCCCAGTGGGCGCATTCCATCCTTTGGCTGCCATTCTGTCACCAGTCTCATCCATCCGCCATCATCCCAAGGAGCGAAGACCTTTACGTTTGTTAACAGTAAAAAAAAACGCGACTTACAAAGCAAAAATCCCCACAGTATTTTTCCCCGTTAATTTTTTTTGTTTTCGGTTCATTAACACTTTACATCGTTAGGTTAATTAAATCAGCCAACCTCACCTTCCCAGGTGTCTCCCGTCATCACAAACAAAGACGCCCCAATGCGTGCCACGCGGTGCGGAATGACGGCTCAATGACAGCGCCCCCCCGCCCCTCCACCCTGCCGACGATGAAACCCACGTTCGTTTCAGCAACTCGTTGTTAGCAACCGAATCGCCGGCGTGCACGTGGACGGACCAACGGGGGTACTGAGAGCCCGTGTGGTCTCAGATGCTCAGCCTGGGCAAGCGCCTTGGACGAGCGAGCGCCAACGCGCGTAGAGCGGCTGCCGTAGAGGATGCCGCAGGGCTACGCAGTGGCAGCGAAATCCGTAAAGTTGTACTCCGACTCATATTCTTAGGTTTTTTCGATAAAGTCACGTAGGTAAAAAAATGTAATTAATCAAATAAAAATAAAATAAAAATCACGACGTTTCGGAGGCAACACAAGCTGGCCTTCCTAAAGAGATGCCGAGATAACAAGGTAATACCCATCGCTTTACAAGGACTGTTTTCTTGGAATTTCTCTCACTTGATACAGCTATCGTGCTGTGACTGTTCCACCTGAAGACGGAAGCTTGTGTTGCCTCCGAAACGTCGTGATTTTTATTTTATTAATTTAATTTTTTTACCTACGTGACTTTACCGAAGAAACCTAAGAATATGAATCCTTGCAGTCACGAAAGCTTCAAATCTAGAATTGTACTCCGACATCTATGCTCCCACGCTCTCTGCTCACGGGGCTTGACCAACCCGCATTAACCAGCGTGGTGAAGTATTGACAAATAACCTGTCAGGGCCCACAGGTCAGCTTTCGTGGTCGTTTGGCTCTCATCTCTGCTCTTCTGACTTTTTCACCCCCCACACACACACACGCACTCTTGCTCCGAGATCGGCTTTTGTCACATGGCAGTCAAACTAATATTTATAATTGTTCGAGCTGGAATTTAGCCAAATTCAGTGTGTAACCAAAGTTAACGTGATGGGTCTCTGGTGTGCAGTTGCTATTGTTTGGTGACAGGGCTAAGGCCATTCACTCGCTTCACTTAAGAACTCAGTTTGAACGACGACCTGAAACCCGAATTCAAACCCAGGACCTCAGCAGCGTCCTCTGAGCCAACCCAGGCTCTTGGCATCATCAATGTTTCAAACTATTCTAAATTACTAATAGCAGTGATACATTTTTTTTGTTCGGTAAATGTACGGATTAACAGACAGGGTCGAGTTGTATTATTATCATCATTATATTTAACAACGCTAAATAAACTTTCGAGCATTTGGAAACATGGACACGGGAGTGTGGCTTTGACGTAAGGATGTGCACTTTGCTTGTCAACACACAGAAACAACAACAACAATCCCAATAATCGGACTCGGTAAACTTTTTAAAAACGATAACACAAAATATCCACCCACTATCCTCATTGGTTGTTCCTCCCTTTTGTAATTCCGATGTCATTTGAAAAGTATTTTCCGTCAGCGGTTGGCAATTCACCGGCTAAACCCAGCCCACTCTTGCAGTGATGCGAGGAATTGACGCCGTTTCGTGGTCGCGATTCGATTCCAGAACTGAATATATATTTTTTTCTCCCCCAAACTGCGGCGATTGGTTTCGCGTCTCGAGTGGCTCCAGGGGTGACCTGAACCCACAGCGCGCACACACAAATTGAAGGACTTCAAAAATATCCCGCGCGCGATTCCATGCGTGCACCGATGAGATTAATGACCGATATTAATGAACGGGTCGATGCATCGTTACACCCATGATTTTCAATGTTTTCACTCCGTTTCCGTTGTGTACGGAGACAAAATTATCCTCGAGTTAGAACAACAATAATAATAATTATTTAAAAATCTGATCTTGCAACCACCGATTAACAAAACAGTTCCATGAAAGACGAGGCCAGAAATTACGCCGAAACTATTATTTCATAACCGAGTACGGGGATAAGAGACGACGTGATGATGATGACGACGATGAGAATGTTAACGTGTAGGTTTGTGCGAGAAATGTGAATTGTTGGGCTGTCGAGGAGGCGACGGATGGAGTTGAGGGGGCGCTGAAGCGTTGTCAAAGGTTCGCGGAGGGGAGTCGTGTGAATGTAGTGCTCCACGATTGTGGGGCGGTGGCGGTAGCGGTGGCTGTTGATGGGATTGTGGTTGGAGAGAGGTAACGGAAAATGTGCGACGCAAACGTGGACGATAAATCTGCGTTGGTTTTTTGAGGATCGGCGGGGCGACGAGCGTAGCGGCGTTGCGTGCTTGGCTTTCGGAGTTACCGAGTCCGAATTTCGACAAGTTGAAAGTCGTGATAAAGTTGTCAAAAGGGCGATTGAAGCTTTTGGGCAATGTCTCGGGACAGTGGCAAACGACAGCGGCAGTGGGCTAAAATCTCGCGTTTGCCGCGTGAGCGGTCCAGTCATCGGAAACCACCAAACGGGAATGTGGCATTGCGGCGGCACTCGTCATTTTAACGTTGAATACGCTGGCCTGGTAAACAACGAATGATTTCAAGGACTGTTATTGACAAACGGTGTCCCGTAAGTGAAGTTGTGGATATTCGAGAGATTGTGACTTGACTCAAGGGCAGGTTCTGTAGTTTAAAACCGCCTCTTGTACATAGTTGTATCGCGAACGAGAAGAGTAGGTTTTGAGTTGTTATCCCCCCTTCTTGTGTGTCTGTGTGCATTTTCTGCAGACTCTACTGGCGTTTGCTCCCACATGCAAAAAGTTTTGCCCGTCAATGGAATTGGACTGACATCCCAATGTAGCAGAGGGGCCCTCTTGAAAACGACTGCTTGAGACTCGCTGAGGTCCTTACGTAAATAAAATAAAAGATGAAATATTATTTATAATTGTACGCGTTTAACACTTCGAGCTCAACGCAACTTATCGCAAGTAACATTTCAGCCCTTACCGATTGATAATGGCTCCCGTAAAAAAGAAAGTTTTGGTTTGTGGCATGTGATGTTTTTTTTTCTCTTTTGGAATGGTGTGTACTTTTTTTATCATTAGAGTATTTTTTATTATTTTACGTTATTTATTTTTTTAATTTCATGCGTGTGGAATTGGTTGAGATTTTAATTGGAGGGGGGTAGATATCAATTTTTTTTTCTGGCGGGTGGGGAGGGGGGTCCTTTGTAAGCCACACTACGCAAAACAGTGAAAGCACATCCGCACTGCCAGCGTGCGTGCTGCACACATTATTTTTTAATGCTTTGAGGTTTAATATTTATAGCTTGAAAAAATATATAACTTAATGTTGTGTTCCTTTAGGGTTCGCTTTGGACATTCCAGTGTTTAGGAGTAAGAACAATGCCTCTTTTTCATTTAAATCAGTTTCAAATATATACACACGTGGGATGCTACCGTGGTGTAATGGTTAGCACGCAGGACTTGCAATCCAGAGGTCGTCCAGTTCGATTCCATCTACTGGCGCAGCAGTTTAAATAATGGGTGCAGAGTTTATTAAATACTCCCCCCTTGCCCCGGCCACTACTTTATTAAGTAGATTCACCGTAAGTTCGTCTATGAGAGCCCAGAGCACGGTGTGGTGGGGTCAAGTGTGGGTGTACCCCCCCACTTGTCAGATATCTTGGCCAGTGTGGAAGTGTAGGTCCGTGGGAGGAGCTGTCTAGAGCTCCCTGGATAAGGATGCTCCTTCCACCAGCAGTGGTGGAAACAAGCACTTGCAGGGCTATGCCTTTATCCACTCTACCCCCTCCCCTTTTTTATTTTACACGCGTAAAATAATTAAAACCCCCAAATTGTGTGCCAAAGCAGAAAATGTCTCATTAATGAGATACGGTAATTGTCATGCCTCAAAATTACCCATTGAAATCACAGGCAAAAAAAACGAAAATCTTGTTTTCATGAAATAGACGTTTTCAACTTGCAAAAGCACTGGACTGTCCACAAGCTGTGTTGATGTGTGTGTGTGTGCGTGCGCGCGTGGACAAACTTATAAAAGGCTGGTAACTTTTTTTGGCATCCGCGGTGGGGGGTGGGGGGGTGGTGGGGGTGGTGGCCAGGTTCAGTCACCCACCTCGTGATTATCGGCGGGCTCGAGGTCGTAGTGAACGGGCTAAACGAACAGGAGGCCAGAGAGGGGGCTGCGCGAGTCGCGGATGCCTGTACATAAAACACGCTGCAGCCCTCTCTCGCTAGTCACGTCCACTGCTGGATGATGAGGGGGGGGGGGGGAGGCCCTTCCTGCCCACGCCGTGCCGGTCACGGGCCTTTATTTTGACCGTGCGCTCTGGTCAGTGCCGGGTTTTGGCGAACGATGCGGGGGGGGGGGGGGCGTAGAGACGTCGTGAGCATGGCAGCAGCAGCACGGCGCAACAAAGCGACGTTGCTGCGCTGTCAAGCCGGTGAGTTCTGCGGCACCGTAGCAGCAGCCGACGACACCTCTCTTACGCACGGGTTGGTGGTCGCCCATTGGAGCACTTAATCCAGATTCGAAGTCCCTGCCGAGCTTCTGAGAACGGGCACGAAGCGATCGGTCATCTGGAACAGACCCGGCAACTCCGTCGAAGGCCTCGCCTGACCTCCGGTCACTTTCGCGGACGAATTGACGCGGCTGTCCTTTCTGAGCGGTCTCTTGTTTAAGCGATCTTACTTTGTATTGTACGTTGAACTTCTTTTGCACCGTACGTAGCCAACGGTGCGAAGGCGAGGCGCGGGAGAAAGACAGCAAACTTAACACAAAAAGCAGTTCTAAAGAAATTCGTTTTCAATCTAGATGATTTAAAAATGCATAGCTCCAGTGGCTTCCTAATATTGGAAGGAAGAGCGTTCCAGACGGCCGCAGAAGCGCATCCTTGACTGTTGTTCTGTTGTACAACGTCAGGGCGACCGCTACACAGCGCTGGTGGAACACAACACGTGGACGTACGTGCGGTGGGGGGGGGGGGTGACGCGTGGCGTTCACCGGTAGCGTCGTTCACTCTCGCAGCGCTCACTGAAAGCGGCGTGGGATATCTTTTAAATTAACAATCGCCGTGGCACTTAAATCCTGCACGAGCTCATTGGGCAGCGAAGGGCGGTCACGCGCCGGTTTAAATGCATTCTGCGAAAGCGAACGACGGTCAGCTCGGACGCACGTGGAACTCGGGCAACAACAACAAAACAAAACCGCAACATTTATTTTTCGCCACTTTGCTAAATTTCTCACGGAGGTAAACCTTGCGCTGGTGCCCGCCCGACCACATAGATGCCAACACAGACACGTGACAGCAGCAGCCGCCGGCGCCATTCGCTAAATGTACGTCCGTCGAGTTTCTTTCTCGCCACCGCACGCAGCCAACCGTGCTGTCGTCCCCCGAATGTTTTGTTTGTTATAAACTAATGTAGCTGCCCCAATCGGTACACCTGGCGGAGCCGTCTCCTTCCACTCGGGCGGTGGAGACCAGCTGAGCCACCTGTGTGGAGGGCCACCGTAACGGTGATGATGCACCCCGCTCGGGAGGAGAGTAATCTTGGGTGCTGGTGGGCCCCTCCACCCACCCACCAACAACTCCGGCCCGAACTTCTTGACCCGTTGCCACTAACGCTGGGGCGAGCCGCCACCAAATTGATAAAATAAAATAGGTGATCGCAAACAGCCCTAAACCCACACACACACAAGAAAAGTTGATCTCAGCTGGGTCTGCCTGCATCGGCGAACCGAAACATATTCATGCACCCTGCAAACCACATCCATCGTTCCTCTCGTCAATGGTTGTGGGACAATTGTCACATGCCAAATGTCTTCAAATCTACAGGCCTCCCAGAGAACACTTTTGCACCCACACCACACAGAGTGTACCCGTCGCCATGGTTGCGACTAAATATCCATCGCGTACCAACTCTCCTCTTTAGTTCAGTCTCTCACCAGCTACCCGGAAAACTAAAGTAACGAAAATATCGATTTGAGTTGTTACCCGCTGTTCGGGCAAACGCGCATAGATTTGGACACACGGTCGCGCAGCAAATCGCCTTACCGACGCCTTCCGTCCGTCAGGATCTCAGTGGGCGTCGATCGGCCACGATTTGTTCCGACGTTTCGCTCCACGAGGGGGGGGGGGGGGAAGAGAGCGCGTGGAGAAGAAGCTCGCAGTACCAACCAAAACAGACGGAGAGAGAGAAACCAGCTCGGAGCGTTTGTTACGACGACTTGTGTTGTGGTTTTTCTTTTCTTCTCGCGATGTCGCGCGTGGTTGTTGTTGTTGTTGTTTTTTTTTGGGGGGGGGTGGGGGGGATTTGCGCGGGCGCTTGCGCATGGGATAGGGGGTTGTGGGAGCCCAGGGGGGGGGGCTCGGGGGGAGGGGGCTCAGTGCGGGGGGGCTCTGTGTCACCGCAGAAGAGGCCAGAGGCACGAGCTGGCTCTTGCTGCCTCCGTCTATTTGCAAAAAAAAAAAAACGAGTGGGTGTTATAAAAAAATGAAAAACAAAAAAAAGATATCATAATGAAAAATCATTTTATAAAAATGAACAAAAAAAACGCACCCCCACCAACACACACACACACACGAGACGTAAATATAAAACTATGGGGGGGGCGGGGGGGAGACAGGGATATAACGTTTGTTTTAAACCAGAGATGATGATGATGTTGTTGACAACGCTGCGCTGTGATAGGATCGGTCCGGGTGTTGTTTTTTTGGGGCGGGGGGGGTTACACAGTGAATTGCAGATGTTCGTGTACATGGCTGTGCACACTGTGGCGTTTCATGGCAATAAACGAAGCTTTAAACATTGCGTGCCGCTGTCGCACCCCCTCCCCAACTTTGACTCCTTCGTGTCCGCGTGCGTCCACGTGCGTTCACGTGTCCACGCGCGTGTCCGCGTGCGTCTGCGCGTGTCCGCGTGCGTCTGCCCGGGCTCCTGCCGGGAAAACCACGGAACCCAACGGCGACCACCATGACCGTTCAACAAATTTATCTCCGCATTTCCCCCCACCACCCCCATCTTCCCTCCACGCGGTCACCAATTCCGCGCCCACTGCCGGATGAGGAAGGGCTTCACCCGGCATAGCTCCAGTGGCTTCCTAATATCGGAATAAAGAACATTCCAGACGGCCGCAGAAGCGACCGTGGCGCAGGAGTTAGTGCGCTACGCTACGAACCCCAACGACACAGGTTCGATTCTCGCTCACGGTCAACACCGGTGACGATTGTGTGAACCGGTGCTTGGCGTACCCCTCGGTTGACTCAGCCTCAAAAGTGAGTACCTGGTGCGGTGTGTAAAACATCACCAACTCGGCGGACGGGCACGGTGCTGGCCACCCACCCCCACTCGTACTCTGTTCCGGCCTTCACAGGTGCCGCTCGCTAACAGCAATTGCCCCCAAGTCTGTTAAGGCTATACGGGGGATCTTTGTTTTCTCATCGAGTTGCCCACTCTTGTAGTCTCTCTCGACCTCCGGCCATGGTCCATCCCTTCTGAAGACGTCTGCTGACCAAACCTGATTACTGCCACCAATCGTTCGTGTGCGTAGGTTGAACTTCTTTCGCACCGTACGTAGACAATCGGAGGTGCGGCGGAAGGACAACACAACTAAACGAAATAAGTAATTAATTTAATGGCAAAACTCCACGACTCCAGGAAGTGGCTCCGAAGCTTGCCATAACGTAAGGGACCATGGTCAATTACAGCCAACGTCAGTTGACCGTGGACAATTAGACCCAAGCCGAAACATAACATATACAAAATAATGTTAAATTTGTTTTTATGATAGAATATAGTATTGTCATCAGTATGACATAAGTATACCAAGTTTGCAGTCGATGCCACATTGGGAAGTGGGTTAAAATTGAGTTACAAGATTTGAGGATACAACAACAGAGTAAATAAAAAGCGTGTAATAATACAAATAATTGTGCCCAGGAGAGCCGCATTAGCTGGACTCTCATGATGTTTGGGCCAGCTCCGGACCTGGAGAACATCCACGCATACCAAAGGTGGGGGGGGGGGGGTGAGCTACCCAACGCTCCGCACAGATGGATTCAAGAATCTCCTGCGGTAGTGCCATCTCTTCACTTACTCCCAGGTAGTGCAGAGCAGAACTTGATCAAATACACATTTAAGAAACAACGAGGGGGGGGGGAACAGAACGAATGTAGAACAGCTAAAACGCTATTTGCGACCAACAACAAACTGCGCGCCGTACAAACTTGAGGGCCAGTCACAGATTGTAAAGGATGATTTTTATTAAATTGTCTTTGTATTCTCTCTCTCTAAGCTTCTTAAAATTATCAAGCCTCGCTTCAGGGAGGCAAAGTGCATCGTTGCTCGGACAAATGCGAACACGCGCTCCGCGTGCCCCGAACGCTCACGCCCCAACATCGCTGGCAACGTTCTTACGCCCACTAAGTGAAGGAGCCGTGCCGGTGGCGTTCCACTACCGTGCCACTACCGTGCCACCACCACTGTGCCACTTCCATTCTACCACCCCCACATTCGCACCAACTTTACAGCCCAAGTGCAGCTTCCGTGTTAGGCACGCATTTTCGGAATTTCTTTCTCTTCCCGCGAGCGAAAGATCGACTGCGAGACCGCACATGGGAGTGCGCGTGGCTGCGACTCCCAAACACCGATTTGGGAGCCACGCAACTGCATACGCGAAAAACCCCAAAGATTGTATGGCGTGTCCTCGCTTAACGCGTGGTGCTCACACAGCGTTTTTGCTGCAACGCTGTTGCTTTCATTCGGGAAGACTTTTCGCATAACGCTGAACGCGCCTCCCCCCCTCCCGTTATAACGCGGAACGCGCCCCGTTATAACGCGTCCCGTTACAACACGGTTTCTGAGCGGTCGACGACGAGCTACTTTTTTGAGCCGCGCGGCTGAGCGGTACGGTGATACGGTACGCGGAATGATACAGTAACGCGGCGGCGTACCATCAGCTATTTGTCCCGCAGTCTCACTGCGTTGTGTGCTAACATTGTTATCTCGCCAAAATTGACCGTTGCATCATTTTTTGGGGGGAAATTGTTTTCGTGTTTTTTTTTCCCGTAGCGTGCCACTTTTCAGCAAGGCATCTGCTACCAGCACTTTGAACGAGGACTCGCCGTACACATTTTTTTTTTTACGTGGAAATCACCTACGTCCAGAAGGATTAAAACGGTGGATGCCGTCGATTCGGCGATTAAAATCAATTCGCTGGCTTGCGATACAAGAGTCGAATTCTGTGTGCGAGACGGACCTGGGGGTCGGTTCCCATTGTAATTTGTGCGATTCGCAAACCATGGTGTGTAATTGCAACAAACAAAACAATCATTTCCGTTCACCGTTTCTTTCGGAATTGAAACGGGATTCGACTCCCAGGTCTGGCATGATAAATCCATCGGCCGATTTGTGCAAGTTGCAGTTGGCTGACCCTCTCAACCCTTCAGCCACTGGAGGCGCTTGATTCGTCACCGTGGTGAATGAAAACCAAAAAAAACATCGATCGTTAAATGGAATCACGAGAAAGCCTAAATCCTTAGCTACTGCAGTGTTTTGCCCCGTCTCATTAATTGGGGGAGTCGATTTTTTTTCCGTGTAATGTCAACTTTAAACAAGGCCATATTTGTTTTTGCCATGTCAAGATAAAAAATATATTTTTTTTTATATCGGATTTCTCGCACTGCCGCAAAACCCTTTCCGTGTAAAGAAAACAGCCCACAGAAGTGGATGTCATGGAGCCACAACAGAGATCCCTTTCGAAGCTACCTTTGCTCCACACAGTAGGGGAGACAGCACTTTCCCACCCACTCTGCTACGGCCTAGCAGTGCTATTCACATGACAGTCAAATTCGGATGTTTTTAACTCTCAGTACGAAATTTGGCCAGAATTAAGTAAACAGTCGGTGGGATTTTTTTTTGTGTGTGGTCATTGGTGACCGGGCTTAGACGATCAAAACTCTATTACACTCTGAGCACTCGGTCTAAATCGCAGGCAGCTGTACCTGGAATCCAACCCAGGTCAACTCAACGCTCTGACCTCTGAGCCAGCCGGCCACCCGGTCACCTCGCTCACATGTTTCACCTCTTTTCTTTTATTATATTTTACATTTTTTCTTTTTATCGCGGCCAGACCTTAACAACGGCCACGGAAGCGCTGGAGGGCAACGGTTTCAGTGCCCTCCCGGGTGAGCCAAGCGACAAGAGCTCGCGGGGAGGGCACAGGAAGATGCCCCCCCCCCCCCCCCCACTGCCGCTCAGGAGCAAAGCCCAGCGGCTGCGAGCCGCACGCGTGCTGAAGAGGAAGGGCCGTGAATTGCAATCGTGAAAAAACGAGGAACGTAACAATAACGATCACGTGCACGCACAACGAAGGGGGAATTGGACCGGGCCGCTCGCGAGAACGGCGTCGAACGCGTCAAGCGGCAAATTTCGGACGAACTCGACAATAATCGTACAAAACGTTTCGCGGGAAGAGCCCGTAAGCTGGAACGATTGAACGGAAATATTTGAGAGGTGAAAAGTAAAGAGGTTACAATGGAAAGACGTAAAAACATATAGACACGTGTTTTCGCCGACTTAACAGAGGCGTGCGGCGAGTCAAAATGTAACTAGGCAAAGAACAAAAAAATGACATCAGTGCAAAAATCACAAAAATTCCCAGAATGTGACGACTTAATTCTTCGATGATCTGTCATCTGGGAAGCTCAACGTAATCCTTAATTATCAATGACCGCTTAAGCGGGGGGGAGGGGGGGGAAAGGACAGCAGACCAAAAGATTCCACAGGTCACAATAACTGAATCTATGCATCCCTTTAACCATATTCAAGCTCTGGTTTGCAGGCTAAAAACTAACTTTTGTAGACTCTGCTCTCATTCCATGTACTTAATTTGGTCACCCAGGGGTCAGTCCCTCTTTGTGTGTGTCAGTTTGATGTCCTTCACCCCCGCACCTCCAATTATCACGGTTGGCTAAGTACGGTGCGAAAGAAAGTTCAACATACGTACACACGTACCTCTCGCAAATGAGGACCCCCCCACCCCAATCCTGAGTTCTCATCTCAGGTGAAAACAAAATAAGACTCGGGTCAGGCACCGCCTCTGCCAATGCGGCCAACTTTCATGCGGGGGGGGGGGGGGGGGGGAGTCCAAAGGTGCAACGCAGACAATCTCGAGTGAGATTTTGGAATTCACACCGGCGTTTAAACACCGATGGGGAAAACCTTTTTGCATCGTCACCATCGACAACCTGTGCGGTGGCGTCCAATCGCACAACGCATTCGTCAACAACGCTGCCCTCCCCCCCCTCCTTTAAAGAGAAACCTCTATCTCTGGTCAGCTTCATAGACAGCAGGCTTGAGTAAAATATTAAAAACTACACCTGGACACTGGAATGATCGAGAAATGCCACGTGATGCAAGGTGTTTTGAGATGCTGGGGCATTTGCGCGCCCAATAAATACCAATTCCTTATCCTCGTGAAGAAAGGGGATTGTTGCTCGAAACGTCGCCGACTCTCTTCGTTTCTCTCTATGGCAGCGTTCCTGACGAACGCGTTCGCCCCCTGCTGTTATCAATTGTGCTCGTGCACCACCAGCATTTTAAGGAAATAAATTATTTCCTATCGGATTTTTTCGGTTCGTTTTAAGGAAACCCCTGCGGCGTTTGGTGCGCTGGCGCTGGGCGAAGATGTCGTGCCGGGATGGCGATCAGGGGAACAAATGCTCTTCTCTACAGCGAAGCGACCGAGCATCCACCGACACTAAACAAAGATCCCCCGTATAGCCTTCGCAGTCCTGTTGGGGCAAGTGCCGGCTAGGGTTGCCACCACCCCCCCCCCCTTCCCCGGATTTCTCCGGGATCGTCCCCACTCTGAGAGAGCCGCCCTCGATAAATCTGCGAGGCCTTCTCCCAGGGGCATTAACCGTCCGGGTTGTTGTCAAGTTGCGCAATAATAATATTAATGCACCACTCAAGACGATGCATTTAAGTGTAGCTATCCCCCCCCCCCCCCCCCTGCTTCAGGCATCATGAGATACTCTTATTCCCACGATATATTCCGTTTTGTTTGTACCTAAGGAGGTGGCAAACCCCAGCTCACGGCACCACGCGGAATTAACCGTAGCACGCCATGCGTTCCAAGCCGCAGAGAATCAAAACGCCGCAAGAAATCTAACGGTGCTCACGAATAGGAGGTGGCAACCCCCAGCTCACGGCACCACGCGGAATTAACCGTAGCACGCCACGCGTTCCAAGCCGCAGAGAATCAAAACGCCGCAAGAAATGTAACGGTGCTCACGAATAAAGGGAAAAAAACGCACAAAAAGTACAAATCAAGCGGCAACATGATGCAAAACGTCACGCAAAGCCGAAATAGACGGCACTCCGAAATGAGCGTAAGCTACTGAACGCTTACGCGTTTGTTTTCAATTTCGCTTCGTCGTCACTGCTAGCAGTTGTTAAAAATGGCTTTAGTATTCACTGTTATGCATGCCTGGGTAGCTGGCCACTGCTCTCTGTAATTACATCCAACATGGGTAACGCGATCAAAGCCTCGTGGAGAAAGCAAAGAGCCAACGACCATCAAGTGATACAGTCACAGGGCCCAGGGCAGAGTTCGCAAACGGGTTTTGATTCCTTACCCATACCCGGCCGCACCCGGGTCGCAAATGGGTACCCGGCCGGGTACAGGTACACGTTCCCTACCCGTACCCTACCCGAAATGAGTGACAAACGGTTACTCACCAGTGACTCACGGCCTACCCGTACCCGTACCCGGCCGCACCAGGGTCGCAAACGGGTACCCGTAGCCGTACCCAGCCGGGTACGGGTAGCCGGGTATCGGGTAGGGTATGGGTATCGGGTACCTGGTTGTGACCTCTGGCCCAGGGTGCGACCCGTCCGGGTTTGGGGCGGTCATACAAGGCTAGAGACAACAGATTGGGGGGACTTCCCCTCGCCTCAACTCCTGGATACGACCGCAGCAAAGTCAACGACAATGTTGTACTCATCTAACGTTACAAATTTGCAACGGCACTGAACATTGCTCGGCGATCGAGGTCGTGGGAAACCACAGATGAGCCAGGAAGGAAGGCAGAACGGGCCCCAATAATTGCCCAATCTCTGTAGCCCTAGACTGCGATGTTTGACCTGGCCACAAATGAGAGCTGAACGAAGTGGCTTATCATGTGGAAATGTATAGCATCAAAATACTCTGAACGCATGTTGATTTTAAACGTGGAGGGAAAAACCGGAATGACCCGGAGGAAAATTCACGCGACCACGGGGAGAACATGAAAACTCCAAATATACAGGCGTCAGGGTCAGGATCGAACCCACGACTTCCTGCATACCAGGCGAGGTAGTTAACATCTCACCACCGCGGCCGCCCATTAACGTGCGAGAAAACCAAAGCACGGGGAGAGAACCCACGTGTACGAACGAGGGGGGACGGGGGGGGGGGCACAACACTCAATCTCATCCAGGTGGAACAAACGGGAGATTAGTCCACACTTTGCTGTATCCACTTTTCTCCTGGCAAGCCCGGGGTACAGGCACCTCGACACACGCAGGCATGTAAATTTCACAACATCTTTGAGTGATCCACCAACTCTCTCGCCTCCACAGCGCTGGATCAGAGGCGTGTCGCCATCACCACTACCACCGCCCGCCCGCCCGCCCGCAAAAGCTTTAGAAGACATTGCTGAACACAGGGCCAGATACGGAAGAGACCACACTCGGATTTACGAGTGGCTGCGAAAAACATACCTGTTTAGAAAAAGTCACAGGACAAGCCTTTAACTTCAATGCCTCGTGTCCACAATTATCCAAGCGCTTCACTGATTGTCCAATGTGTTTTCATTGTTCGAGTCAATTAGATCGGTGAACGAGTTCACCGCTCCCCCATCCCCAACACTCACGACCGTGACCACTTTCTCAAAAACAACGTGGCGAGTTAAATCTCCGCTTAGACAGGCAGCACACACACACATACACGCACACACACGATATTATTTATACACATACACGATTTTTAACTATTTTTTGTGGAGGAAATTTTTTGTTTAGGAAGCGTGCGTTTTTCAGAAAACCTTCATCACCGCGTTACAATCTTTGTGCCGGCACAAACGGTGTGACGTCTTGTGTCCCCCGAAGCTACGGCCGTGAAAGTTAAAACGCCACCTTCGCTTGGAGTTCTCTGATATTTGTTTCCAGAATCAGAATCTAAATCTTTATTTAGACTGGAGAAATCCGGTGAGCTATGAATCTCTTTTTCACCGATGTCCAGCATGGGCAGGTTGAAGTGCGGCACGCTCAGCATCGTGTCCCACGTTCCGCTCTCTTTAAACAAAAAACGATTTGTTTTATTTTCCCAGGTAAGGCCCCACTGAGCTACAGAGCTTTTTTTCAGAAGCGGCCTGGCCACAAATGATAGCTCGACCAAGTGGCTTATCACGTGAACATTTTTAGAAGCCAAATACTCTGAACGCATGTCGATTCTAAATGTGGAGAGAAAAAAAAAACCGTAGAACCCGCGGGATAATTCACTTGACCATGGGGAGAGAGACACGCAAACTCTAAATAATACAGGCGCCAGGGGCAGGATAGAACCCACGACGTCCTGCATACCATGCGAGCGAGTTAACATCTCGCCTTTCAGCCGCGTGGGAATCGTTTGGCGTTATCGCAACAACGCGTTGTGACATCGAGCGGAAGTCTCTCCCGGCTGAACAAACGAAGTAGCCTCTAACGACGACGATCCAATGATTAGCTCCTCAGCAGCGTTTCAAGATTCACGATCCGCACTCGACGGAAAGCAATCGCCCACCCTCCTGCCGACTCCCCACCTTCTCCCATCACGCTACGAGTGCAAATGCTTCGACATAAGTATGCATTAATTGCTTTAAATTACGACATTTTTTACAAATACGTTGGCCACAGACAACAAAAACTTACGGACATCGCGTGCACGGGACTTCCCTTCCTGTTGGTGACATCAAAACGCAAACTGTGCAACGTCCCCTCGAAAATTATGCTCATTTAACTTCCACACACAAGCGACATCGACGATAAAGACACAGCTGCTATTAATGTTAATCATAAAAAATACAAAAACAACGTTTAGGTAAGTATGAAAATCCTCGAAAAAAAAAAAATGTACTCCTTGCCACGACATTCGGTTCCCGTGGCGAGTGTTACGCACGCCGAGTCGGGCTTAAATAGCAACTTCGTCTGGAAAACGATTCTATAAACGAATTGTAAAAAAAAAAAAGCCACGTTGAAATATTGTAAAAAAAAAAAGAGAATTACATAATTTTCAAGACTAAATCGATGTGAGCCACGGGACGCAATCCACATTCCAAAGATGTTCCCCTCTCCCTTCGTCTGTGAAAGCGTGGGCCCACTCGGCTTCCCTCACCGCCAAACAACAACAAAAACAAATAAAAAAGTGGTGGCTCCTTTCGTTTGCATCGTCATCTCGGCGGGAGAACGAGCGAGACGTCTCAGGTTTGGGTTGACCGCGAGGACCCGCACACCGTCGCTCGCTCTCCACGGGGGTAGGGGGTTTGGTGGTGGGGGGGAATGTGGGGGGGGGGGGGGGGGGTTTGGGGGGCGGGCAAAGTCTATTTGTCGCTAGCGGCGCAGGGTGCCTTGCTCCACTGGGCGACCGCGTTGGCGTACTCCACAATCAGCTTGTCCATCCACGTGAGTGGCTCCGGCAGCAGCACCGCCCCCTCGAAGTATCCCAGGTGGCCGCCGTGCAACGTCAGGGCGAACATCACGTTCTCCTTTTTCTCTGCGGGGTGGCGGGAGGGGGGCGGGCGAGCAAAGGACCGCGGAACGAACAAATGCGAAGGTTAGGATTTTTGAAAAATTATAATAACAAAAAAAATCACACGTAGCCACCACCGTCACCGGTGAGCGAGCGAAGGCTCCGCTTGGTGACATCACGGTAAACCCTGGTTACGTGCGGAAGGGTCGCCACGGACGCGCACGCGCGCCATCACCGCGCGGCGGGTCTTGGTCGCTGCAGGCCGCCCTCGTAGCAGAGCCGCGTGGCTCGGTGAAGCCTTACCGGCTGCAATCACGACGATGACGGCTGAGGTGGTGGAGCGCGTCAACAGGTGGATTGTGCGCGTTGCTTTCCCAGCGCGCGTTTGTCCTCGGCAGTAATTAACTCGCAATAAGGAGGCCGATAACCGTCGGGATAACAAGCGCTCTGTGTTAATTGCAAATTGTCCTTTTTGTACTGCTTAGTGTCGCATTGGAAAACCGTTTTCGTTAACTAGGTTTGTTTCAATGGGATGCATGCGCCCCCCACCCCCTCTCCAAGTTACGGAAGGATAGACGGAGAGAGAGACAAGCGAACGGATGAACGGACTGATCCAATCCAGAAATGCTTTCAAGCTTTCGGTGGAAGAGCGAAACAAAAAAATGTCAGTCAAAAATTTCAGAACAAGATCCTGCAGGCAACATTAAACATTGACGGCGGGCATTTGTCAACGCCTTTTTATCAACCGAAAATTATCCCCAACGGTCAACCTTGCCGCAGTGTTTGACCGGCGTCACTCGAAGCAACTTTTTTTTATTTTACGACGGATACGATCGGATGCTGAGCTGAGCCAGGGCACGTGTATGGGGTAACGCGCGAACACATGAGCACACACGCGCGCACACGAGCACACACCACGCACGTACACGCACGCACACACGCGCACACGCAGTGAACCGTCGAGGGCAACACTCCGGCCCGCGACCACTCTTGGAAACGTTTTTCAGACGTCACGGAAAACCGAACATGCCTGTTTGTCCGACGCAGTCCCCCGAAATATAACCGTACCATGGCGTAAACACTCTGGTCTGGGCCTGTCAGAGGCAACACAAGACCGCATGAACACAACTCGATGATACCACAAAACGTGGCTCTCGTCTCTTTGGGACACTAAATTGGTTACCACGGTGGGGGGGACATTTTCGACCTGGCAACCAACAACCGTTTCTAATTTTAGCACTGCTCAAGTCACCTGTTGCGACTCCACCGACTCCCGGGCAAGCAGACGACGCAACACGGTACAAGTGTGATAGAAGTTTATCGTCAAATAACGCGTGCGGTCGCCCGCCAGAGGTGTCCAAGGATCCTATTTCGGCTCTATTGCCAAGGTGAAGGTTCCCCGCCCCAACTCGGCGTTCGACGCTCGTTGCAGGGGTTCGCGGTTCGAGCACAAACATACGGGTGCCACCTGCGTCACGGCGGACGTGAAAGACCCCGGCGCCACGGCCAAAATTTTCCAAAATCGAAAATTTATACGACTCACAAATTTCCCAGCACCTGGGTAAAACCACAGAGGGAGAACGGCCCCTGACTGGAAAACTACGCTCGTCAATGATAACACGGCGCCTTTCGTCGCGATGGCCTCATGCTGCTATCAGAATTGCGCAAATACCAAAATGTGCCAACCTATCATTATTTTATCATTTTGGCATACATGATTGAACTAAGGTATTGGCGTATACACTATCCACCAGACGTCGGGGTGGGTCAGACAGGCTTCTAACGGAGATTGATAGAGTCCACCGAGGAGGAAGTTGGGGGTGATGACATCGGCACAAAGACACGCGCACGCGCCATGCCCGCAAACGTCCGCTCTTCTATTTTATTTTTTAAACGGCGGGTGTTGCATTTCAGCGCCACTAACGAAAGGCTGGCATGGCGACGATGACGAACCCGAAGGGCGATCCACCGACACAAAACAAAGATCCCCCGTATAGCCTTCGCAGTCCTGTTAGGGCAAGTGCTGTTAGCCGGGCACCTACGAAGGCCGGCAACGGCACACCAAGTGCGTGGGTGGGAAAGCACATCGCCCGGCCGCCTTTGTCTCCGCCAGTGGCGATGTTTACACATTGCATCAAGCACTCATTCGAGGCTGAGTCGACCTAGGGGAGGCCCAGGACCGTTTCAGATAAACGCCACTGGCATTAGGTGGTGCACGGCACGCGAGGGGGATGATGAGGTCAGCACCACGCCCGACCATTAACTATATCCGTAATTTCACACTGCCTTGTGTCTCCTGGTTGATGTCGTTTACACCCTGCAACCGGTACCCGATTAAGGATGAGTCAACCCAGGAGACGCCCAAGAGCAGTTCAGACGTAGCTCTCCGCTGACCTTTGCTCACCATGGGCGCAAGAGCAGAGCACTAACCACCGTGCCACCCCGTCGGCGTGGCTGACGCGCACACTTGTGCACAGACACTGGGCGCTAGACACTGGCCGCTAGACACTGGGCGCTAGACACTGGCCGCTAGACACTGGCCGCTAGACACTGGCCGCTAGACACTGGCCGCTAGACACTGGCCGCTAGACACTGGGCGCTAGACACTGGGCGCTAGACACTGACTTGCCACGGCTCGGCTCGGCACGGGCATCAACGAACGTGGACGAGCGTGGACGAGCACGGGGGCAAGCGTGGATGAGCGTGGGGGCGAGCGTGGGCGAGCTGGGCATCGTGCAACGTACCGGCCAGCGTGCGAGGGATGACGAGGAGTGAGGAATGGACGATGGGGTCATCCAGAGCGTTAACGAGCAGCATGGGCACCTTGATCTGCGGCCAGAATGCAACACGGCAAAACAAACACCCACCGTGGGACCATCGTCCAATTTATACTCAACAAGCATTCGCACGATAACAGTTTTCCATTGCACTATAATTGTTTCCCATTCTGCCGCATTGATTTTGATGCTTGGCAAAACTTAAAGGTTCTTCACCGAGTGCTATGCACTTTTAAGTCTCGATTGAAAATCATTTGTTTAGAACTGCCTTTTTGTGTTTAGCCCGATTAACGTAGTTGGCTACGCACAGTGTGAAATAATTTCAACGTATGTACGTCCAATCAACGTAAAACTGCGGATTGGTCTTCCAATAGAAGCACAACTTCTAACGCAGTCCATAACGTTCACAACGCAATGGCCCAGGCTTTGTTTTAAGTTGTCACACGTAGGAAAAAAATCCCGTGAAACAGAAGAGTAGATAACCCTTCTTCATGTGACAGGCGACGTTACGAGCAATGGCCCTTCACGTCACATGATGAAGGGCCATTGTGCCCGAAACGTCGCCTATTATACATTTTTCCTTTTAAGGCTGCAGTGTTGTTATCGACGCGTGTGTTGAGTTGTTGTTTGTGCACCACTGGCAACACAGCAGCAGCCAGCAACATCGTCACCGATGTAACGTGCCGCTGTGTCGGCGCTGTGGCTGAGGAACGAGCGACGTACGTTCTGCAGGAAGGGAGCGCAGCTCTCTTTCTCGTAGTAGTCCTGCAGGGTGCTGTAGCCGTGGAATTTCCTGCACGGGAAGACACCATGGAGCAGAGGCGTTGCGTCTCGGTCGCACACACCGTCACCTCGTGCGCGACAGCTACAACATCAACCGTCTCTCTCGAGGCCAACTCAAGCCTCCCGTTGATTGCGCGACTTCTGTCTGGCCAAACGCCATTCCTGGACTTTCACACTCACTCGCATTACCAAGTTGCTCTCAAGCTGCCAACCACTCGCATCTCCCAACCACTCACACTTCCACAAAGACACCCCAGTTATAGCCTTTAATAGACTGTTGGGGCACGTGCTGTTAGCGAGCACACTTCCGCTCACACTCCTTCACGCTCCTCCTCCCGGCCCATCAGCCCCCCCCACCCGCCCTGTGAAAATAAACACCATTCATGGACTTTCAAGAATGTTTGATTGATTTCACACTCGCCGACTCATGTGGCGGCTATGCTCTCAAACTCACAACCACTCATACACCCAACCACTCACACTTCCACCCAAACTCCCCATTCCTCCTCCCTGCTCCTCAGCCACCCGGCCACCGCCCCTTGCCCCCCCCGCTCCCCCTCCCCCCGCTACCGTCAGCTGCAGCTGACCTCATGATCACGTCGTCGATCTGCATGAGCGAGGTGGCCGTGTAGAGGCGGTTGAAATCCATTTCCTGGAGGCACGACGGCCGCTTTCCATTCCCGTCTCCCAGCAGCAGCTCCCTGTGGTAACGATCGGAGGAGGGGGGGGGAGGGAGGAGAGGGGTGGGAGGAGGGGGGCAAGGAGTAATTTACGATGTAAATGTCAGGGAAGAGATGCTCGTATCCACACTTTAACCCACCAAACGTGGCCTTGTCGATCGACGCACTGCAAGTGCACCCGGTTATGCTGCTTGGTGGACAGGTGGGAGGAAATTTAAGAATCGTGCCCCCGACGGTTTCGGCTCCCGTGCCGCCCCGGAGATCGGATTGAACCGGGCGACGCGTGGCGACGCGGTAGATATCCCCCCGCTCGTGAACGCACAACGTCCAATCTGGCCGGTTCCCCTGCAAAACGCTACGGAGGTTTCAACGTACGGCATTCCGATTCAAATAGCAGCCAGCAGAAATACTGTTGGATTAGCGCTGTTCTACAGGCACGCTGCGTGCGGATCGAGGGATGCTGCCGTTAAATTAAACGCAGAGAGGGGGATCGTTACCTTGACATGTAGGCCTTTGCAGCCAATACGTTGATTAATAATTGTTTTGTTTGTCATCTTTAGCCCCAACCTCTCTGCCCTCTATGTGTGATGTTGAAGGCCACTGCCCTGATTATAATCCATAAAGAGGTTTTTTTTGGGTTACATCGCGTAAATATAAGTGTCGTTAAACCTGCCACCACCCAACACAGACAATTGGCTAGGTTTGTTACATAAACAAAACATGCCAATTAGTTACTAGTTCAGCACAGCGGTGTGTCAGAGAACAAACCCACACCAATTTCAAATTCCACAGTATTTACAAAATCGTGTTTACGGAAGTATTAAATATACCGTGGCTATGCATTGATGAAATTCTGACCGAGAAAGCTTCTAACTGCAAGGTGGCTTAGGACTTTTCCCGGCTGAATTTAACAACCGCAATACTGAACAACCTCAAAGAGCTCCGAGCTTCATCAGGCAAACGAACTGGGACGTCGGGTGGGCAACCCGGGCCAACTGCGCCCTTACAAGTGCCCGCCAGTGTCTCCGCCAAGTGCCAGCTTAGAGCGCTGCTCATCTCCGCGTGTGCGTGCGTGCGTGTGTGCGTGCGCATTTTTGTAATCCGAGCCGTGCAAGGGAAGAGGGCATACTTGTGGCTCAGGATGATGCGCTTCATGTTGTCGGCCATCATGAAGTTGTAAAAGCGCCGGAAGTTGTCCCACTGCAGGAATGTGGGCGATGCGCTGCAAGACAAACAAATAACGTACGTGCTTTCAAAATTTATTTTACACTAGAATTGTCACTTTGCGGTTTTGTTCCGCTCGTTCTGTCACGGTGACATTTTATCACACGCTGGAATCCATTCGGATCGCTCGCAGGGGCAGCAGCGTCTCAAGGGTTCAAAGTCGATTGTGTTGAAGCCGGTGGGAACTCTAGAGGCAAGGGTTATAATAGACAACATTCTCATTTGTGAGGGTGATCCTGGGTCGACTAACTCAGGGGTCCCCAACCCCCGGGCCGCGGAACGATACCGGTCCGTGGCCTGTTAGGAACCGGGCCACACAGCAGGAGGTGAGAGCGGTGAGTCCGCGCGTGGAACCCGCCCCCATTGTTTTATTATTGACCACTTCCGTCCGCGCCTCTTTCTCATACTGCACACTTGTCTCAGTTACAGTTTTGGTGAGCCCACAAGCTCTAACCCCTAGTAGCCAAAATGAGTAAAAAGCAAACGTTGAAAAGGGGGAAAGACCCAATGATGAACACCACCCCCCCCCCCCCCCCGCGGTCCGTGAAAAAATTGTCTTCCACAAAACCGGTCCTCTGGTGCCAAAAAGGTTGGGGACTGCTGATCTAACTGACGGAAAGTAAAACAAACAGTAGGTTCAGGACAAAGACAGCCAGCATCTCTTGATGGGGATTTGAAAATATTGCAAACACGATTCCCTGCAGGGCAAATCAGCTCGAGGCAAAATTGCTTCCGGATCGAACACAGCACAAATTGCAAAACTCAACAACAAAAACATTAAAGATATGGTCGGGTGACTTTAGCACTAATATGTACACACAAGCAAGGCTAAGTTACGTGTCGAATGAAAATATATCCTAACCCTAACCTAAAGGGTAACGACCCTTTGTGTTAGAGAATGCCCCACGGAAGTGGATATCGTAAAGCTGCTACTGACATCTCTTCAAGTGACCTCTGATCCACACAGAAGGAGACGACAATTTCCCACCCGCTCCGCGACATGAGTCATGTTCGCCGCACGACAGTCAATAACAACATTTGTAATTTTCAGTTTAAGCGCAGAACCAAATTGAAGATGATGGGGTTTTTTTGTCGTTGTTGTTGTTGGAGTCATTGGTGACTGGGCTGAGAGAATCAACTCGTAAACACATTCCTGCGGAGGGAGCTGGTAGGAACGTTGGGTTGCTCGGTCAATGGCCAGGGTCAACGGCGGCATGGTGTATTCCGCAAATATGCCCGACTGTGAGGGCGGGCATAAGTCGGCGTGAGTAGGTTAAACGTTGAGTTTTATAAGGGCACCACCGGGTGACCAGCCCCTCCCCACACAGCCCCACCCCTCCCACCTCCCACCCAGCCCCACCCTCCCCACCCAGCCCCTCCCCACCCTCCCCTCCCCACCCAGCCCCACACCTCCCATTTTTGGATGCACGACGGACGGCCGGACACAATAATCCCCTGTGGGCTGGTGTAACCAGGAGGTTCCTACCAGTATAACAGACCACTGCCTGGACTTGAACATTGGATGTCAGTGGTGCTGGCTGAGAGCCACCTGGCCAAATAAATACATCAATTGCCACCCCTTTGCTAATCTACTACTAGATGAAGGCCTCCCTCCACTTGTCGTTTATTTGCATTTCAATACTTCACCTCGCTGGTCAGCGTGGATTGGTGATCGGGTCGCGTGGTCGGGACAGTTCAGATATCACATGCCGACGATGTTAGCCATCGGCCCAGAATAGAATTCAGGTCAGAACCATTGCGCATCCGCTCCCTCCCCACTAACGAGATGAGTCACTGCCCATTAAGACTTATTTTTCTGAGGATCCTAAAATGTAAAGTGTAACCAATGCCTCTTTAAGAGAGTTTTTTTGTGTGTGGGAGGAACCCAGGGGCTACATACCACACACCCACACACAAGGGGCGAGGCTCAGGAGTATGCCACCAGGCTCCGCGGTGGCGAGAGCGGTGGCGGTGGGAGCCAACGGTCACTCGTCCTCTGCCTTCGTCACTTCCCGACTTAGACCATTGCAAACGCTTCACTAATTTTCAGAGAGGGGCCACTTTTCCCGATAAGACACCATCAGTGTGAGGGCCGCCACACATTTGACACCATTGGGGCTTGACAGCAGCACGTTGATGGGGGTGTTGTCACATGTTGTGTATCGTCAGGAGCCGCACTAAAGGCCACCAGTGGCCCACGGGCCTTGCAATGAAGAACGCTGGTCTATGGCCTTCCCAAATCCCTGGTCTCCAAACGCCGGATGCTCCATAATGCCGCTGCCAGCCGCCCCACCCAAAACTGTAAATGACACCGCGGTCTCCCACACACTCCCATCGCTCCACTGCCTCCCAATTCAATTCCAGATCAATTTCAAGATCGCATTAGCTGTCATCGTGATCCCACACGGACAAGCCCATGCCTACCTCTCCCCTCTCATTTCACTCGATTCCCCTCCACACACACTCCTACCTCTTTCATCTCATCTCACTATTCCCCTCCACGCACTCTCCTACCTCTCCCCTTTCATTTCACTCTACTCCCCCTCCATGCACTCTCCTATCTCTCCCCTCTCATCTCTATTCCCCTCCACGCACACTCCTACCTCTCCCCTCTCACCTCATCTCACTCCTCCACTCCACGCACTCCCCTACCTCTCATTTCATCTCACTTTACTCCCCTCCATGCACTCTCCTACCTCTCCCCTCTCATCTCTATTCCCCTCCACACACTATCCTACCTTTCCCCTCTCATCTCACTCTACTCCCCTCCACGCACTCTCCTACCTTTCCCCTCTCATCTCTATTCCCCTGCACGCACTCTCCTACCTCTCCCCTCTCATCTAATCTCACTCTCCGACCTCTCCCATCTCATCTCTATTCCCCTCCACGCACTCTCCTACCTCTCCCCTCTCATCTCATCTCACTACTCCCCTCCACGCACTCTCCTACTTCTCCCCTCTCATCTCACTCGACTCCCCTCCATGCACTCTCCTACCTCTCCCCTCTCATCTCTATTCCTCTATGCACTCTCCTACCTCTCCCCTCTCATCTCACTCTACTCCCCTCCACGCACTCTCCTACCTCTCCCCTCTCATCTCTATTCCCCTCCACGCACTCTCCTACCTCTCCCCTCTCATCTAATCTCACTCTCCGACCTCTCCCATCTCATCTCTATTCCCCTCCACGCACTCTCCTACCTCTCCCCTCTCATCTCATCTCACTCTACTCCCCTCCACACACTCTCCTATTTCTCCCCTCTCATCTCACTCGACTCCCCTCCATGCACTCTCCTACCTCTCCCCTCTAGTCTCTATTCCTCTACGCACTCTCCTACCTCTCCCCTCTCAACTCATTCCACTCCGCTCCACACACTCTCCTACCTCTCCCCTCTCAACTCACTCTACTCCCCTCCACGCACTCTCCTACCTCTCCCCTCTCATCTCTATTGCCCTCCACGCACTCTCCTACCTCTCCCCTCTCATCTCACTCTACTACCCTCTACAACCCTCTACGCACTCATGCAAAAATGAATTTCTATCGAAGGCCCCACCCAGTCAACCTTCGCTCCGTGGAAGTTCAGTCAATCTCCTCCACTGCCCCCATCGTCTGGAATTGCCTTCCCCTCAGCTGAACGTGCTGTGGACCCCGCCCCCGTTAAAGTTCAGGCTCAAGACCAGCCTTGTCTCCTATGCTAATGACCAACTGCCCCTCTCTCAAATAAATATCCTTTCAACATGTAGGCTTTTGCAACCGATATCATCCATAATACAGGCTTCTGTATATCTGAAGGCTGTATGAATACACATTAGATTTGATCCTCTCGAGGCGAATGCATGCTCATGAGATACGCTGTAGAGGAGGCCTGGGACCGCTCCAGATATTTGCGACTGTTGTTGGTCTTGAGCCGGAATCGAACTCAGTTTGGGGAGTTCGTAGCGTAGCGTGATAGCCACTGCTCCACACGCAAGCACGTACACACCCAAACAAAGACAAAGATCCCCCGTATAGCCTTAACAGATTGTTGGCGCAAGTGCTGTTAGCGAGCACCTATAAGAGCCAGAAACGGCACACGAGGGGGTGGGTGGTCAAAACCAAGCCCGGCCGCTTTTCTCCCCAGCAGGGATGTTTACACACCGCACCAGGTACTCATTTGAGGCCGAGTCGACCTAGAGGAGGCCCAGGACTGGTTCAGATAATCGTCACCGGTGTTGGCCGTGAGCGGGAATAAAACTCATGTAACCGAGTTCGTAGCGCAGCGCGCTAACCGCTGCACTCCCGCTCGCCACACACACATGCATGCGTACACACACGCGCGCACGTACACACTACCGCTCCTCCCAGACACACACACACACACTACCGGTCCGCTCACACACACACTGCACGCTTACATTAACGCGCTGTAGCCCTGTCCGACGCTGATGCAGCACGCGACGCCCTCCTGATTCTCGCGGTCCTCGCCCAGGAACTTGCACACGATGTTGCCGCCCATGCTGAAGCCCACGACGACGAGCTTCGTGTTTGGGTAGAGCTTCCGCACGCGCCGAACCATGGCGCCGTACTCCCACGTGCAGCCTGAACGCACACAAAGACAAAGACCCGCACACCCGCCGCTTAGCCACGCAGACTACAGAATAACTGTGAACCCGCATTGCCCTACGGGCAAGTCCCGCACGACGGAATCGACAACGCGGGGACGGTCCGTCCCGCTCGGAAGCACGCGACGCCCCAAGCAGGGATCGCGGGGGGTCGTGGATCGTCGGCCTCATCGGGGGCATGCTTCGCACCCTCAGATGAGAAGACACCGATTGAAGACGATTGTCCTCGGCTGATAGGGGACTGCCGAAGATGAAGACAATCATTACACGGCAACCTTTACTCAATTGGGATTATAAGCAGCAGCAATAAACACTCCATACTGCCAAGACTTGGCAGGATCCTGCTGACAAACAGTCATGAGACTCGGCGAGTCTTTCCTGGGTAAAAAGATTGAAAACTCATTTCTTTAGAACTGGTTTGTTGTCCTTCACACGCACCTCCGATTAACACTGTTGGCTACATACGGTGCGAAAGAAGTTGAACATACATACAAACAAGCATAATAATTATTATTATGACCAAAATCTTATATATAAATGTAATTTTTTGTCTGTTTTTCTGTCTGTTTGTGTTCACGCGCTTGCGAGGGATTTGGCTCTCAAACGGTGGGGTTTATGTAAAAAAGAAATTAGCCAGGTACCACGCCGTAAGACCCGCGGTTGACAAGCGCTATTCCTTTTTCACGTCCGTCACCTTTAAATTAGTTAAATTACGTGCGCTCGGCCATACCAACTCACGCACTTTAGGTGGGGGGGGGGGGGGACCATGCCAAGTCACACGCGTTCGGTGGGGGTGAAGGGGAAATTTACTTTCGCCTTAAAAATACTATACAAATACACACAAAGCTGAGGCAAATTCTTCAGTCTGATATCCCCTCCTCACGCCAATGCGTCCAGTTACTGCTATTAAGTCCGGAGCTATTATTTGTATAGCGCTTAGATAGTATTGTAGCACGGCCGGGGGGATGGTGCGGGGTGTAGCAGCCCAGCCCCCAGCCTGCCGGCTGGGCAATCTAGGCAAGACCGGGGGCTCTGCACGGGACTAGGCCTCACCACGCCACTCTGACAGGCTCGTGGTTTGTGCTATACAGTCGATATATACTGGTATAGAGTCAGCATGTACTACTGTTGTGATAGCACGTACCACCAGTCAGTCAGAGCGACCTTTTACGTGAAACACGGAAAGCTAAAAAGGGACTCGGTGTTTCAAGGTATCTCGTGCTTACTTAATGGCGTGCAAGGTCTACGAGCGACCATTAAAGGGCTTAACGGTTCCTTAAATGAGATGAGAGACTGCCGTTGTTGCGGGCAGACAACAGCATCTGCGGCCTCTGGGCTCGCTGATGCAGCCAAAATTAAACAGAAGGCTCACGGGGATGACTGACTGGGCTGGGATAAGTGGCAATCCAAGGGAGCTCAGAAGGACTTCTGTGCCGTCCCCTTCGACACGCACACATTCTGAACAATCGTGAATGCCTGTAACATTATTTGTTAATCTGTGTATTTAATTGCAATTTACATCACACGCTGGGCAGCGGTGGCTATGCACGTGGCCTGTAATCTCAAGCCGCACCTTACCATAATAAAGGCTCAGTCCTTTGTTATGTAGACTAGCCGTAGTCTCAAGCCGCACCTTACCATAATAATAAAAAGGGGGCCGTTCCTGGCCCATCCCCCCCCCCCTCAACCAGTATATATACGGGGTAGTAGCTCTTGGAATCTCTCATTTACTTCATACAGCAAGCGTGCTGTGACGGTTCCACCTGAAGACGGAAGCTTGTGTTGCCCCCGAAACGTCGTGATTTTTATTTAATTTTTAATTTTACTTTTATTAATTTAAATTTTTTACCTACGTGACTTTACCGAAAAAACCTAAGAATAATCGAGCACTGTTGGAGGCAGCAGCAAGTGTTGGTGGATCACTACACAGACGTTGTCAAACTCCCTCCCCGTGGGCATTGAAGAGGTGCCACTCCCGGCTCGCCAGGGCAAGGCGGTACTGAGAAAAGTGCGGACTAATATCATGCATTCATTAATCACCCCCCTCCCCTCTGCCACATCGCTGAAGATGGGCTCACAAGTGATGCCATCACATCTACCCCTCTATTTAAGGAACGAAACACGAGGATTCCTCCACAAATCTGGCTGTCGCCTGACGAAGCCAGTTGTAATTACTGGTGAAACGTCGTACTCGGATTGTAAATGTTGTGGCTTTGCTCGGGTTTAACAACACATTCATATATTTACGCGATCGAACCCAAAAAAAACTGTATTACAGATGATATTGGCCGCTAAAGCCAAATTGTTAAACTAATATAATTTTTCCCTTCCGTACGGGATAGTCTCTTGACCCCTCGTATGTGTGGCTTTTCTCCGAGCGCTTCTGGTTTTCTCTCGCATGAACAAACCCGTTAACTAAGCAGAGCTTGCGAAATTGCTGGCGCCGGCTCATCGCCCGGCTGCTGCTTTCTCACTTGTCTGTGGTTACTCATGAACGACGAGTCGTTCCCGATATCTCCATATATATAAAAGGCAAAGCTGTGATTATGTGTGTCTGTTCAAACTGTTTAGCGTACTTCCCGACATGCAACAAACTGGAAATTTGGCATGTGGGTACTTTCCAGACTGTACATCCTGCAGAAATTATAAAAATACACTTTTGTTTTTTTTGGGGGGGGGGGCTCAATAATGCATACATTTTTTGCACGGCAAGTGAGCTGTGACGTCACATCTGTCATGTGATCCGCGCATGTGGAAGCGTAACGCATTGTAGTGTAGTGGTTAGCGCGCCGCGCTACGAACCCGGCGACCCGAGTTCGATTCCCGCTCACGGCCACCACCGGTGACGATTATTTCAACCGGTCCTGGGCCTCTCCTAGGTCGACTCAGCCTGAAACAAATAACTGGTGTGTTGTGTGTGAACATCGCCACTGGGGAGACAAAGGCGGCCGGGCGTGGTGAATCCAAGTCCCGGGCGAGGCCGGGTAGTACAGCTAGTAATTAATAACTAGATGGGGGGGTCCCCGTTACCCGGTCCCAAGGGTACTTGCACTACTGTCGTGTTTTTGTGCTGTTTGTTGTTGTAACATTCTCACCTGCCCCTACTGGACATCTGTGAAAAAGAGCTTCATAGCTCATCGGATCCCTCCAGGATAAATAAATGTATGATTCTGATGTACGTCAGTTCAATGATGCCAAATTAACGGCTGCAATGAAAAAATCGCGTCGCCGCCATCTGCTTTGATCCACATTGCTCAGCGTAGCTTTTGGGCTGTGCAGAATGTACCACTCAATTAATGGGGGAGAACGATACCAATAGTTTTGCATACTGTAAAACATACAAAAACAAACCAAGACACAGCATGATAAAATTACTAACTATTATTGTACAATGATTAACAAATTACAACTTAAACAGGGTTAAGATTTATTTGTAAAACTGAAATAATGGGATTAAATCCCCCAGGTGATTGATAATGGTTTCTCTCTCCGTGGGCCGGAAAGAAAGGGGGTTTACATTTTGGAGGCGAGGACCACGTGACACATACACACACGCAAGCGCGCATGAAACTAACTTTCATATACAGATATCAAGAGGACTGCAGAGCGTGGGCAACTATTGACGGCTGCCGCCCACCTGACCCACGGTTCTTCAGCGATTGCGAGGGACAGCGCGCACGACCCGACGACGATGACGCTACGCAAAACTAAACATCAAAACAATATTCAGCGGGAGTCAATCTCTCTATACGCCTTCAGCTGGACATCAATTGCCAGCTCGCATGTGTGTATATATGTTTCTCTTCGAGGGCTGCTGTAATATTTGCGAAGGTGCTGAGCCATTACAGCCTTGACGCTGGACAAACACGGCAGTCTGGTCACGCCTGCAGCTGCGCGTGCGTACGTGGGAGGGAAGGCGGGCGGGTGCCGTTGGGTGTTGGGTTGCGACGGGAGGGATTTTTGTTGCCGGTGGGACAGCTCACCAGCCGGCTCGCTGCACTGGGCGAGGCGGTGCGTTTCAAACGCCGCGGTGGCTCCCCAGCCGCTTCCTGCCCCCAGCGCGTTCCAGGGCAGTGCGTGTTGTGAGCGCGTGATGTGTGCGCGCGGGTTGGGGGGGGGGTGGCAGGAGGAGGCTCGTGAAGGACGCCGCCAGGCAGTTGGAAGGCACTCGCCCTCCAGCAACTTCGGAGGGCAGAAGAGCGACGCTCACAACAACGAGCGGAGGCGCTGGGCGGCTAAAATGCAGAAAGTTGCCACACTAGGCGGCACAGCTGGTACATTTGTCAGTCAGTCGACCCATGGCACCTGGACCTCCTGTGAGCAAGCCTTCAGCACGTCACGTGACCTCAAAGTGCACCTGGCTTGGCACGGGTGCTGTGGTGAAATCACTCCCACTTAGTGGTGAATGGAGACTTGTTGTTATAGCAAGTGTTGTTGTTATAGCGCGCCGTACTACAAACCCGGCAAGCGGGTTTCGATTCACCATCACAGCAAACACCAGCGACGATTATCTGAACCGGTCCTGGGCCTCCCCTAGGTCGACTCAGCCTCAAATGAGTACCTGGTGTGGTGTGTAAACATTGCCACGAGGAAAGGCAGCCGGGCATGGTGATGGCCACCCACCCCCTCGTGTGCCATGCCGGCCTTCATAGGTACTTGCTAACAGCACTTACCCCAACAGCCTGTTAAAGCTATACGGGGGATCTTTGTATTTGGGTGTGTGCGTATTGCATAACGGGATGCGATATCGTGCGGGGGCTGAGTCGCGCTACGCGTATCACCGCGACAATTAAAATGGAACAAAAACAAGCCAATTATTATCATGAAGTGACTTGTTTATAATAAAAGAATACGAATACTGTATAGAGATCTTTTGTGAATTCGCTGCTGGGTGACGGCCTCTTCCCTGCAGTGTCGGTCATGGAGGTTACTTGACCATACTTCACCACGGTGGTCAGCGGTGTGGGGGTGTGTGAAGAGGGGGGGGCCCATTCAGATATCGCGAAATTGGTGGTAGGGCTTCCAAGAACAACTTACATTCAACGTGCATACGGAGCTGCAAGCGATCGATTCTTATACACATGAGTACACACGATTTGAGACGTATCGTGAGCACGGGAACTGATGCTACTGCGACAACCTAACCAAGCCAATCGCTCACCCACGAAGTTATTCCTTTGGACTCTTTCGTTTTTTTCGGTAAAGTCACGTAGGTAAAAAAAATAAGAATAAAATAAAATAATGATAAATGAAAATAACTCAATTAAATCACGACGTTTCGGAGGCAACACAAGTCTCCGTCTTCTTGTGTTGCCTCCGAAACGTCGTGAATTAAGAGTTATTTTCATTATTATTATTTTATTTTATTTTTTACCTAAGTGACTTTACCGGGAAAAAACCTAAGAGTATGAATCCTTGCAGTCACGAAAGCTTCAAATCTAGAATTATTCCTTTGGACTTGCCGCCAGAGAAGAACCCACAGGGTCCAACCTACTCGCTGTTCCCAACCACTATTGGCACCGGTGCTGCTCTGCAGGATGACTATGACACGCACGATAACCATGTCCCTGCATGATCTACCAACTCGGCTGATCGACTCGTCGACGCCAGCTGCAGCGATACGGGCGTTTGCACTACGAGAAATAAACGCTCACAAACGTTAAATGGCAGGTCGGATAGATCAGCGACCACGCCCAAGCTTAGAAAGGATTGAGCCATTTCCTCATGCAGGGGCAATGGAAATGCCTTGTGCTCAACGCAGAGTCACCGATGTTATTTATTTAAAAACCGCATGGGCAGGAAGTCCACGTTTAATAGAGAAAGAATGCAACTGCTTTTAAACTAACCATTCTGTACTGTTTTTGTACGGATGTCACGTATGACCGACCCATTTAAAATAGGTTCAATGCTCAATCGCGGTCTTATTTATTCCGAATGGAATGTGCGATTGCACCGTCGTTCCGAAGTTCACACCGCTGCGTAGGTTTTGGACATCGTGCCAAGCAGGTGTTCCGACGCGCTTGCACGATGTCCGACGTTTTGCTCTCCGTGCCAGGAGCTTCTTCAGGTAGCGTCTCGCGTTGTCTTAACGGGGCTATTTTTTTTATTTCCCCGTTGAACTTAGAGAAGTTCAGCCACCGTTACTACGACAACCGATCACGTAAATGGCACGCGCTTGAGTCGCGGTGGAATTTAAACACGGCCTTCACTATAGTTGCACTGGCACGCGAGCCGACACACCCACCGCCCCCCCGCCCTTAAACTTTCCAACGACAGGCAGCAGCAGGTCGTGACGACCTTCGCGTTAAGGTCACAACGACCGTCACAGAGAGCCCGGGGGGGGGGATGTCCCCCTCGAGTAAAGTGAGATGAACCGAGGGAGACCACCAAGTGGGCAGTGCCTTGCGCCGACATGTTTAAAAAAACTAATTTTTATTTGACCAGGTAAGGCCCACCGAGCTATACAGCTCTTCTTCAGAAAGTGACCTGCCCACAAATGATAGCTCAACGAAAGTGGCTTATCATCATGTGGACATTTACAGCTGCCAAATACTCCCAACATGCATGTCGCTTCTAAACGTGGAGAGGAAAAAGCGGAGGTCCCGGGGAAAAATCCACGCGACCACGGGGAGAACATGCAAACTACAGTGGTCAGGATTGAACCCACAACCTCCCGTATACTAGGCAAGGTAGTTAACATCTTGCCCACTGTGGCACCCGTTTCTAATGAGCCGCTCCGCGCTGACTAGCCCCGACTGAACGTGTGAAAAAGAGCTTTGTAGCTCATCGGATTCTTCTCGTCTAAATAAAAAAAAACTCTGATTCGGGGGCACCGCGCCTTTGTCAACAACGCCGGCACCGCCCGTTGCCTAGCGCCTGAATCAGGGCCCTCGATTGCGATTCCCTCGCCTGACAACCGTTGTGCGTGTGTGCGTGCGTGCGTGCGTGTTTACTCGCACGCACACACGCACACAAAGACCTCCTCATGTGTAGCCCACACAGGCTGTCGGGGGAGAGTGCTGTTAGCGAGTCTGTGAAGGTTGGCACAGCGAGTGAGCGGGTGGGGTGTGGCCAGCACCACTCCCAGCCACTTTTGTTCTCCTAAGTGATGATGTTTTTCACATATTTGAGGCCGAGTGAACCTAGGCGATGATCGGATGAGATAATCGCCACCGATGTTGATCGTGAGCAGGTAACGAACTCGAGTCGTTCATTGCGCAGCGTGCTAACCACTACAGCTCTACTCCCCATCCACACCCACATACACCTAGAAAGACTAATGCCCGTATAGCCTCAAAAAAGACTGTTGAGGCTAGTGCTTAGAAATTAGCACCTATGAAGGCCCGCGTGGCACACGAGGGGGTGGGTGGCAAGCACCACGCCCGGCCGCCTTTGTCTCCAAAGTGGCGATATTCACGTATTGCACCAGGTACTCATTTGAGGCTGAGTAGATCTAGGGGAGGCCCAGGACAGGCTAAAAAAGAATTGTCACTGGTGTTGATGGCCACGAGCGGGAATTGAACCCAGGTCGCCAGTTTAAAAGCGCAGTGCGCGAACCACTACACAATGCTCACACATGACACACGCACACACCACGTCACAAACTGCCATCCTCACCGTAGGTGAACATTCGCGGTGCGGTGAGCTTGATGCTGGCCAGGGCTCCCAGGTGGTTGAGGACCGCACAGCGGTAGCCAGACCTCTGCGCGTGGTCCACAAACGTTCGGATGTACGTCTTCTCGCTGTGGTTCGCTATGCCCGGGCAGATCACCATCGTGAAGTCCTCTGTTGTGAGACATAGCACAGAGGAGTGAGGAGTGGGATAGACCAGCGTGCACGTGTGTGTGCGTCCACTCGCTAAGAGCACTTGCCCCAACAGTCTGTCAAAGGCTATATGGGGGATCTTTGTCTTTGTGATAAATGGGAAGATGAGAGTGGTGGCTGAGTAGCTGGATGGATGGATGGCTAGGTGGCTCGCTCAGAGGTCAGAAAGCTGAGCCGGCCTTGCAGAGGGCCTGGGTTTCAGCCGCCTGATCGTCTCAGCCCAGTCACACCAACAATAACTGCACAAAAAACGATACAATTTAATATTTTTTTGCATGCATAATTTGGCACCAATTCTAACTTTGTGATTAACATTTTTCAGTTTGCCCGACACGAGACGTTTATTTGCGGTGGAGCGTGTGGGAAATGGCTCTGTAGTATCACCTTCCCCGGGGTCGTTATACAAACATGAGAGTTCCAAATTGGCATTTCGTCCCAATAAATGAATGCCGAAAGCGCAGCTTTCAATTGTGATGAAAACAATCAAAAGAGAGAACTACAACAACCAGAGACACGGCGACAAATTGCCAATCCGACTGCTGCCAATTATCATTTCTAGCAGTGTGCCTTGCACCAAAGCATTCGCGTGACCTTATTTAAGCCGATTTCAACCAGACTCAATTTTTATGTGCCCAACAGAAGCCTCTTCTTTTGCAAGCGATCGACGTTTCAGCCCCACGATTTTGTTTTGTCGAGAGAGTGATCTTTGCATAAGAGGTTTTTTGGGTTACATCACGTAAATATAAATGCGTCGTTAAACCCGCCACCGCCCGACACAGCCAGCTAGTATGGTTTGTCACGTAAACAAAATGTGGCAATTCGTTACTAGTACAGCACACCGGTGTGTTGTAAAGTAAACCCACAACATTTACAATTTGAGTATGACGTTTTACCAGTAATTGCATCTAGCATCATCAGGCGGACACCCAAATCTGGCTGTCGCTTGAAAGCCTACGTGTTAAAACTGACAGTAATCTTTACCTGCGTTCACACCTTCCGCGAGCACCAGGCCGAGGGGTTGCTGATGACTTGGCCAGGGGGAAACTAAATAGACCATAAATACCCCAAAACATTTACATCCAACTTAATAAGGTGCACAAGAGACTGGTCGGGGTGGAGCGGTGGTGAAGTGGTTCGCGCATCGCGCCGTGAATGTGACGAGACTCGAGTTTGACTCCCGACCATGGCCAAACATCACAGGGCATTACTTCTAGATTTGAAGCTTTCGTGACTGCAAGGATTCATATTCTTAGGTTTTTTTCGGTAAAGTCACGTAGGTAAAACATTAAAATCAATAAAAGTAAAACAAAATAAAAATCACGACGTTTCGGAGGCAACACAAGCTTCCGTCTTCAGGTGGAACCGTCACAGCCACGACAGCTGTATCAAGTAAATGAGAGATTGCAAGAGCTACCACTCCGTATATATAATGGTTGGAGAGGGGGGAAGGGCCAAGTACGGCACACTTTTTTATTAATATGGTAAGGTGAGGCTTAATAGACTGAGCCTTTGTTACGGAGAGGTACGGTTTGTGACTAAGCACAGGGCATCCCCGACTTCACTAACTTGCACTCACCGGTGTGGTGAAGTATGGTCACGACCCCTGCAGTCACTCGAGGTCAGTACATTCAACACAATGTAACAAAAAAAACTGAATCGTGATAATTTATTGAATAAGATAAAATAACGCCCCCCCCACGACTGACACAGACAGGGCTTCAACCAGCCGTGGATTGAATAGAGGCTGGTAATGATGATTATTATTTGTTATTATCGAACGTGAGAATGGTGACTCCACGTAAAAGAATAAACAATTAAGTCAGACTAAACAGCGAGTTTGGGGAACTCAGCATTGTGCTGCGAGCGTTTCTAAAGACGAGCGCATCGGCAAAGATTTACCGAGCTCTCAATCCACTTTAATCAAGCGAGAGGAGCCATTACCCATTAACGGGAATTAAATCAGTTGCCGCGGCCAACGTTAGTATGGGAAAAGGTTTCCCCCCAATTCAATACATTTCACTCTGTACTGGGCAAGAGCTGCGTTTTAAACGAACAACAACAACAACAATGCCACGACTCTGCCTGTAAGGCAACAGCAGCAGGAGGAAGAGACCGCTTGGATTGAGAACATCTCTCGTCGCCATTGTGCTGTCAGCGTTGCGTCACGAGATCAAGAATCTACTCGGAACTCTCACGCAACAGTACGACCCTGAGCAGTCGTAGAGAATGGCCCGCAAAAGCGGACACCACAGAGCTACCCTCTGAGCTCCCTTTAAAGTGACATCTGGATCACAGGGTCAGGGGCATAACTTTTCCACCCACACTGCCCCCGAGCGTAATGTTCGTCGTGTGACGGTCCAACCTATATATTTGTTTTACATTCTCAAGAGCTGGAATTTAGAATAATTACGTGCAGAACCAAATTTAATTACGGAGTTTTTTTGTGCGGTTATTGCTGAATGGGCAAAGACCATCAAATCGCTGCATTTGGGAACCCGGTTTAATCTACCACGGGCGGCTGAAACCTGGATTCAAGCCCATGTCTGTGAGCTCTGAGCCACCCGGCTTTCTCACCATGAACATCTGAGTCTGAGCATTCACTGATCTAACGAAATTAACCATTTAGCTTAGCGAAAAATAGCAAAGCAAAATGTATCGGCGAATACGAAACATCTAAAAGACAATTCAAACAATGCACCTCCTTGAAATCACTTTAAACGAAAAACTATTTGCCCAGGGGCCAGGCGAGAGCGGACAGGCGGGTGGCGAGTGACGCACGCGACTGGCGCAATGAGGTGACACGTCGTTGTTGAGAGATAAACCGGGGACAGAGGTTGTGCAAGTCCAGCCTCCCCTCCTTATTCACGAACTTGCCATCCGAGATTTTGGCTATTCGCGAATCGCATCTGGAAGTCTACACAACTGCGTCAAGAGAGAGAAATTGATGATGAGAGAGAGAGAAAGTGATGATGAGAGAGAAAGTGATGATGAGAGAGAAAGTGATGATGAGGTAATATCATTATTCACAACATTTGCTATTAACGAGCGTTACCAGAATGCATCCCTCGCAAATAACGAGGGAATACTGTATATGGCAATCCACTGCTGGATGAGAGCTTCCCCACACCGTACAGGTGAGGTTTTTTTTATTATTATTAAACCCGGAAAAATCCAAATACACGCGGGACGGGACGTCGCTGCGGTGTGTTCGATTCTATCTCCCGGCGCGGCAGTTGAAACGACGGGGGCCGAGTTTCTTGCACCCACCCCCACGCCATCCCCCTCCCACCTCTGCTCTACTTGGCAGCTGAAAATGATCACACCAAAAAGAGTCGATTGAAAGGTCGCGCGCTGGTGGGGTAAAGCATGGATACTCCCAGCTCTTGCACGACGTTTGGCCAGCGTGGAAGAGTAGGCCGAAAGATACCCTCACAAGAGGAGGGGGTCGGCAACCAAAATAACAAGAGCCATTTTTTTTCTAATTGCATCCGAGTACGAGACTGGTGGCCGGCCTTCATAAATAACGTCACGAAGTGGTCCTCAAAGAGCTGAACGCGGCTCCGGAGCCGCAGGAGGCCAGCAGTGGCACGAGAAAGACATTTCAGGGCTGCAGGATTTGTCTGTTGCATGCGGGGGGTGGGGAGACACAGCGTACGTTCCGACTCTCGCGCTCACCTCCGGTGGAGTGGGGAGCCAGCGCCTCGAAGAGGTCGAAGGTGGAGGACGACCCGTCGGGCATGAGCACCGTCTTGCGGAGGCCGTGCGGCTGCGGGCAGCTCACGCGGCCCATCTTCCCGTACAGCACGGTCTGCACGTGCCCGCTCTTGCCCCAAAGCAGCGGAGGCACATACCTGCTCGTGCACACACACACAAAGACAAAGATCCCCCCCCCCCGTATAGCTTTATTAAATTGTCAGGGCAAGTGCTGTTTGCGAGTAGCACCTATGGAGGCCGGCACGGCACACGAGGGGGTGGGCGGCCAGCACCACGCCCAGCCGCCTTTGTCTCCTGAGTGGCAATGTTTTTATATGCTGCACCAGGTACTCATTTGAGGCTGATTCGACCTAGGGGAAGCCCAGGACCAGTTCAGATAATTGTCACTGGTGTTGGCTGGGCAGTCACAGGACAGACACCTGGGCCTGTCTTGTGACTTCCTTCCAGCGAGCCCCCCACACTTTGTGATAGCCTCAAAGTGCACGTAGCCTGGCACAAGCGCTGTGGCGATTTCACCGCTACTTGGTGGTGCACGGTGGCAGTCGTTGTTTAACAGTCCAGTGGCATCCAGTGCCGTGAATCATCATCATCATCATGGCCAAGGACACTCTTCGGTCAATTGAACATTACGTAAATATAATTAAAATAATAACGATTACAAACGCTTCTATCAAACCACTGCTGGAAGAAGGACTCCCACACCGCGTCGGCTGTGGGTGTTCATTGGACCATACTTGACCACGCGGCTGTGGTGGGGTTACTCCGGTTCCACCATTAAAAAATACACTCCATTGCTGAGCAATCCATTGCCAAGCAATGGCGATGGGGCAGTGTTTTGGAACTCAATCAAAAAACACAAGTTCCAGTTCATCCCTTATGCCTGAACAGACTTTCAACCGTGTCTCAATGGACTCGGAAATGAAAGGCCAGTGAACCGAGGATGCACCAAGCACACGGCGGCGAGTCCTGTATTTTATTCCACACACAGCGGAGAGAGAGAGGGGGGGGGGGTGAACGTTTAACGGTCGGGCGATCTTTGATGAATTAAGTCGTCCATGTCTGCGAGCCGACGCTGTGTGCTGGCCAGGGGCGGGCGGCGGGCGGCAAAGCGGGCTACGCCCTGGTTTTATTTACGGCACGGAGGAGGAAAACAAGCGGACCACTTCGAGCCTTGGCAACAAGGGCGTAATCTCTCTCTTTCTCTCTCGGGTCGACCGTCCCCCCGGAACCGCACAACGTTAAATATTTAAAAACGCTCGCCAAATCCCTGGCTCTGTTGTTGGGTACGGAGCGCGACCGAATCACCGCGCGCCCGGCCTTCTTTCTGGCTTTCCTGTAGCCCGCAACAGCAGAAGCTCGCCGTGGCACCGACAAGGAAGCGGAGTTAAAAAGTAAATGTCATGTTTTGCAAGCTGTGGGGGGGGGAAATATCGCATTTGCCTTCGGAAGGTGTGATTGGCAATGTGAAAGCAGATGGGCAGCTGTCATGGAAAAACACAAAATATATTGGCCTATTTCCAACAGGTTGCTGCCAGGCCTAAACATGTTTGCATATTTTTGAAAATATTCATCTCAGCTCTGGTTTGTGTGGTTTGGGTGCCTGCCACTCCCATGGCGCCCCCCCCCCCACCCACCGTTTTAGGGGACCAATATACAATTTGTCTGCTTCTCTATAGGGTGGGTCTGTAATAGCAAACACAGCTTTGTGCTGCAGCTTCATTCACCCACTCTAGCCCACCAGTCCACCGGTAACTTGATTGATAATTATAACAAGTATTTTGCCCGTCCAAGGACGGGTGTATTGCAGTAAATCTGAAACTTGCAAGCGAAAAGCAGACCGCGATGTGATATATTCATTGCATCACATCGTGTGCAATTTGTAAGGGCGCGGTGACACAGACTTATTTAATTTAAAGGTTCTAATCCCTTGGTCATCATGATGTCCTTTTTACTTCGATGTCTCAACAGCGTTACGGAGATCACGTGACGTGAGGGTTCTGCCTTTGTAGTGAGGGTTGTCAGTTGACGCCGAGGAGGGGGGAGGAGGCGCCTCGCCCCCCCATGTGGAGTGACGTCACTTGCTAATTATTATGAATGGAGGGGGTGTCCATTTGGAGGACGTCACCTGTTCATGATAATTAATGAGGGGGGCTGGTCGACGTGGAGTGACGTCACCTGCTCATGATTATTAATGAGGGGGGCTGTTCGATGTGGAGTGACGTCACCTGCTCATGATTATTAATGAGGGGGGCTGTTCGACGTTGAGTTGCATCACGCGTGGGACACACAGACATTCTTGGCTCATTATAGTAGTAAATTGACAATTGTTGAGATTCAACAAAGGCCGTACATGGACGCAGAGAAACGGTGAACATTGTACGCGTGTACCTGTGTACATTACGCTTTGATTTTTAATTGGACTAGAAGACCTGCACACATGCACATTTACACAACGTAGGGATCGATGCGTTAATGCTCTCCCGTGGTTCGAATTGTCATTAAAGTTGTTCTCGTGAACACCCCGATACACTAGTTAACTTTCTTTCGGATCTGCAAGTGGTTTCTTAGAATGAGGTAACACGTGCATATCGCCCTTAGGGCACGGTCTGGAAGGTCAGGGAGAATCCCACGAATAGCCACATTTCCGAAATTATACAAAGCCGTAATGCGTTTTCTCAACATGTTTACAGTGATCACAGCCGCAAAATAAAACCAATTCCCTTTCTTGTGAACGTCGTTTCAAGTCATGTTACATTGTCAAAGACCTGTCAATGTCTCCCATTGCCATTAACAAGGGGAAATTGGCAAGTTAATTGTGCTAATTGAATGCAATTTGGCTCTTTGTCATCATTACAGCCCAGCTACCGCCTCTAAACTGGGAATGCAATTCTCGGACAGAGCCCTGGGTCCAAGAGACCTGGCACAATGTAGTCTTTGGAATACGCATTGCAGGCTGTTTTGCGTGGCCTTATACAAGACATTTAAGATCCTTTAGTCCTAGTCTCACACATTTTGAGATGAGTGAATGTCTCAGACTTTATTTCTATCAGCCGGTAAGGCCCGTAAGAGGTAGCTAGCCAGCTCTGGTACAAGGACGACCACAGTGAAAGACTCGTCGGCAGTGGGCGGTGGTTTGAGAACATCTGCAGGGCAGAGAATGTGCCAACCAACAACAGAAAACACCAACATTATTTACAATAAATCTGAACTCTTTGTAGCTCCAATTTTTTTCCCCAAAATCCGGAGGGACAAGGCTTTTTATTTCTCTATTTTTATTTTACCAGGGAAGCCCCACCGAGCTAGCGCTCTTTTTTCAGAAGCGAACTGGCTATGACAAATGACAGCGCAAAGAAGCGGCCGATCACGTGCCAACGTATAGCTGCCAAATGCTCGAAACGCGTGATGTTGAGTCTAAATGCGGACGGAAAAACTGGAGGACCCAGAGAAAAATCCCCGGGGAGAACTTGCAAACTCCAAATATACAGCAGGCATCAGGGTTGGGATCGAACCCACGACCTCCTGTATACCAGGCGAGGTTGTTAATATTGTGCCACAGTGGCTCCCTGCCTCTGGAAATCTATCGCCAAGTCATACCAAGAATGCTCTTGACAATAAAATCTTTAAAATAAAATGTAAAAACCTGTGAGTGAGCATGTTTCTAAGCTGGATTCATTCATCAATAGCTCCTCGAGTTTTAATTGTATAGTCTACGTAAAAATAATTTTAAAATATATATTTCATTGTATCTTATTTCAGAAGGTGATGGGTCTAGCCCTGCAATTGCTTGCTCAAACACACCACTGTTAGCAAAAGGGCCTCCGGTAGAAGAAGCTTAAGTGGTACTCTCGAGAAGGTATTTGGCCTACTCTTCCACGCTGGCCAAAACGTCTTGGAATAGTTGGGACTACACACATTTCACCCCACCACACACGACCAAGCCTATCGACTCGCCGCGTCGCACCCATTAGTACTACCGGGCGGACACAGAGGCGGCGCGAAGGGGGAGTTGAGAAACTGGCACCCAATGTTTCAACTGCCGTGCCAGGAGGTGGGATTGAACCGGTGACCTCCGGACCGCACGGCCAACGTGTGAACCATTACCCCAGGGCAACGGTCGAAGAGTGAACGGCATTAAATGAGACGGCACCACCATCTCGCCTAATGTGCCCAATTACGTAAACCCCAGAGAGTATTGTTAAAGGACTTTCTCACACCGGGCTAATGGGTTTGAAACCCCCCCCCCCCCCCCCCACCACCTAACCTCCCCCCCCCCCCAATTCCCCCCACCTAACTTCCCTCCCTCCCAACACTGTGTGGGGACACCACCGCAAAAAAAACACCGCAAGCCCATACGTGCATACATAACATCCTGGCTCTGACTGGCCGTACGGCAGCAGTCCGGGGCAAATTCCTGGTCGGCCGGTCCACTCCGAGGGCCGGTGGGCCGGTCTGTGTGAGGAAATTGCAAATGTGATCATGTGAGATTATTTCTAAATAATGCTTGCAAGAGAATATATTTTTTTATGTATATAATTTTTTTAAGTAAAAATATGTTATTACTTCTAATCTGTAATGCTTCATTACTTATTGATGCTCTCAGTTGGCATAAAAACCCATATTTGACAGCCCCCCAAAAGATTCTTCCTCACCGGCCCCATTTGTTTTTTGGACCCAGACAAAATGGGCCGATGAGATCGCAACGCAATTTGGGGCCCCCGCTGTGTTTACAAATGCCCCGGCCGATTTTTTTGCCCCGGTCCGTCACCGCATACATCCTGCGCGTACAGTTTGTACAGTACGACGATGCGGATTTTTCGTAAAAAAAAAAAAAAACGCCGGCAGGCGTCACTCCGGCACACATCGCCGGACAAAACCGGATTGGGAATTAGCGGGAGGTCGCGGCCCGTCGTCGCGTTCGGTCGATTGTGCGCATTCTCTCCAGTCGAGACTGAGGTGGCCGGAGAGCTGGGTATGTTTGTTAAGGTTGACGTACCGAAGGCTGCCTGTGTGTGTGTGTGTGATAGCCTCGGAGCGTGTATGGATGGATGTCGGGACAACTTTCATGGGGGGTAGTTGAAGTCACTTTGGCCGTGTCGCACAAGACGAAGAAGTGCGTGGCTCAAAAGGCTGAAGCTCG